CATAATTTACTGTGCATGCCCGCCCGACGAGTTCAAGGCGGTTCCGGTAGATCCCAGCTGCAAATGCACACACAACCCATCATAATCATTATTATCATTATCTGAAATATAGGTTTTTATTGTAGTGGAACGAGACCTGGCATCGAAACTCGGTCAGACCGAGGGTAAGCCGGGCCTGAGCAGGTAGGTTCAGTGAACTGCAATGAACTACCGATACTCATACTCTGTGGACTCTCTCTTTGGCATTGAGAGCGGTGAGGTGAGCAATCGACAGAGCCAGCGACAGCGACAGCGCCATCGACTAAAACTGAAACTGAAGCTGAAGCTGAAGCTAGTTCTCCATTCCCGTGGGCGATGTTAGCGAAAAGTGTGTCAGGCCGACAATTACATTGAAAGCTGGACTGTCAGCTTTTCCTAAACCAGTTTACGGTTAACAGCGGCACATGAAATCAGCAGCAGCGGCAGCGAGAAAGCTGTGCAAAGAAATGCTCTCTCGCGTGATCTCTCTCTCTCTCTCTCTCTGTATCTATCTGTCTCTTCGATCATGTGCAAACTTTTACATTGACTGCAGGTAGCGCAGACTGCGACTGCGAGTACGACTGCATGATCAGCTGTAGTTGTAGCTGTAAAAGTGGGCTACGTGCTGAAATATAAGCAGCGCATGCGCTGCCCGCTGCCAGTCGTCGCGCAGCCGCTCACATGTGTGCACTTCTCAGAATTCTCGTATTGGAGCTCTGGCAATAGTTCTGGCCCCGTTTCCCACTCTACATTCTCGAAAGCTGCCAAAATGGCTTCTACAACACCAGCACGCAGTGTCTACATCACGAACGAGGTGAGTTTCCTGCTTTGCCAAAACAAAAAAAAAGCCAGCCCGTTCGCCGGTCAGACATAGAGAGAAAGAGGGTAAGAGAAGCAGGGGAGAACGAAATACAAAAGGAATATGAAATAAACTATAAAGGCGCCCGCAGGCACTTCTGATGAGTGCCCTGGCAGCAGCTAATTAGTGCTGCCTCATTAAAACCAAACCAAACCAAATGAAACCCAACGAAACCAAACGAAACTGTTGCTTGGACAATCGAAACTGTGGAGCAGGGAACGCGCCACGACTTAATCCCATAGAGCAAGCAGTGGTTGTGTGCAAGAATTAAAAGGGAAAACTAAAGGGAAAGCACCCAACCGCCAGGTCTCTGTCTGTAATTGCGAAACAAAATCATAATTTCTGCCAAGAACGCGCAGAGGTCAAAGGCCAGCCCACACCACACCAAACAGCATCCCATCCAAATCCCTATACCTATCCTGTGTGTGCCCAACCAAGTCGCAAAATATCCAAATTAATAATCAATGAAAACAATTAGCGCATAAACAAACATCGGGCATGTTTGAGAGAACTCGTTTTAAACACTTTTGCTTTTGCCGCTGCTATGGCTAAGCCTTTGGCTCAGAGCCTACAGCCCAGAAAACAGAACACCCATAACCAGTAGCTCGACTCAATATTGGATTTGAAATGATTAGAATAAATTAGTATTCATTTTCGGCAAAGTCGGGGAACAAACAGCTGCAGGGCCAGGGCTACTCGTTCGGATCAACTTTGGCTCGACTCTAGGCGCGATGATATAAAAACAAAGCGCAAAATTCAATAGAAAGCAACAGTGAAATACAAACACACAACGAAAGAAAAAAAAAACAACATAGAGAGGGGGAAAAAATACAAAGTTCGTATTGGCCCCAAGCCATCGACAAAGAAATGTGAAGGAAGCAGCGAGACGAGACGAGTCGAGTCGAAACAAGACGCGAAAGGGAAGAAAAATCAAATGCTAATTATAAACAAATTAAAAATGTGGCTAATTGTGAGTGAAATTGAGGGAAATCAAACAAATAAAAAACATAATGAATAACGCAGGTCAATGGCAGCAAGGCGGGAAAAAGTGAAAAAGTTACAGAATTTATGCAGTGGACCGAAAAGAGTTTTTAATTGATAAAATACAGAAATTACAGTGACTGAGCAGGCAAGATTAAGCAGGGAACGAGAGAAAAGCTACTGCTAAGGATTCCCTTGCCTTGCTTTAATTTGTTTTTATATATCCACCCATGCGGCTTGCTCTCTAAATATATACAACCTTTAAGTACCATGCCACTGATGAAGCAGTTCTGAAAATAAATTAAAGTGGTGTCACTGCTGGGGCGGGTGTGTCATGTTCCTCCTTAAATAATTATAACTTTTCAACCTGTCGTCCGCAAAAGCTGAAGAACATTTAATTTAGTTTTCGTAAATTGATATGTAAACTGAAACTATAATTACTTTGATAGGGAAATGAGTAAGAGTCAATTCTGATTCTGACACCCACCCGATTTCCCCCTCTTATAGCACCCCACTTATAGCATTTTGTTAGCAAAGTAATTAACGTTTATTGACTGTCGGCAAGCAAAAACTTTTTTTGTAGGCGGCCGTCTCAAGTTGGTGAATCTTCAACTTCTTCAATCCCTTTTGCTGTTTGCTGGAAATATAGCAGATATGTGTATGTATGCTCTATATGTATCCTTACTGCAGCCACGCCCATGCACGGCTTGTGCCCACAAAATGGTAGCGTGGCTCTTCTGTTTGCCTGGCCCCCGTTTAGCCTTCTGTTTGAACGTCTAATATTTGTTCAATATTCTGAGTAAGAATAACGAAAAGATTTTGTGGGCCCACACCCACACGCACTCGTACGCGGCCACTCAAGCTGAAGTGCCGCTAAACGATGGCAACAATTGGTCGCCAATAAGGCGTATGAGTGACATGACATGAGGGGCAAGCATAGCTCATACGCCTCGTGTGGCGTACAAACTCGTTCCGACCACCATCGGGCCACGTCCACACACAAATCTCTTTCACAAATACTCCATAGTGCTTTTGACCGTAATTTCATTTGGTCGAATAGAAACAAATTCAATTTGTATTGCAACATGCAACATGAAGCAGAGGATAGCAGAGACTGGTAAATACTTGTGCTGTCCAGAATGGAATTCTATAGTACTTCAGTACTTCTCTCTCCCCCTCTCGCCATCCGTCTCGTTCTGTGGCATTCGAGAGGTTTTTGTCATGCAAATATGTAGTATCTCACAGAAAATGCATTCTTACGCACAATTCACTTAGTGTGGAAGTGTGTAACTGTGTTCGTGTATAACTGTGTATCTATGTTTGTGTTTAGGGGGCTTTGCATATAAATCAAGGCAAGAGCAGCTCGAGTTCTGCTCCACTGGCAGCTTGTCCTGTAATTTATATTTGTTCAAAATAGTTGTGATGTGTCTTTAATTACAGAGAACCTTTTCTACGTTGCCAGCAGAGTTCTTCAATTTGTTTTAAACTGTTGACATAATTGAGGCCATTTTTAGAAAAATACATTATGGAAATGTATTCAGAGTTTTCTTTATTTCAGAGAATACTTTTGCTGCTTGGCTGAATCGGAGTGGCCTGCGAAACAGAAAATATGTAACTTAAATAATCATTGTCCACTTGGTATGCGCATTATTATGCCAAGTCGATTTAACCAGAAACGGAGTCTAAACGGAATATGAATTTGATTTTCATTTCCATGGAAAAAGGAAATATATAAAATAAACAAAAATTTTTGTTTTTACATTTCTACCCGAGTGAATCACGAGATGACGACTCCACGGTTTGTGATTTGTGGCATTCCTAAATAAAAGTTAATACATCTTTTACTGTGACTCGGCTTATCGAGTTTTTTAAGTCTTCCAGTTGTTTTTGTGTATTCCATAAAGTAAAACAGACAATTTTAGCCATGCAGAATCTTTGACGACTCTCTGCCCTTGCTCAGTCTGTGTGGCAAGGGTCAGGGAAAAGATATGTTGAATTATTTGTTTAATTAGCGGCAACATGCTGCTGCCCTCTGTGCTTGCACCTTGCTGGCAATTCGTGTCAGGGCTGCCACAGAATCTCAAAAGTGTTTGCGGCATAAAAAAAAACAAACCGCTCATTTAATTGTTTTTCAAGTAACAATTAGACAGTCGCAAATGCAGAGGCCGGCCTCCCGGCCTCCTACCCTCCATACTATTGCTGTGGCAAATTCAGTGTCGCCTGACCGATTGTCATGGTTCGTTGGGTGCCCTCTCCCTTCCCCCTGCTCGACCTGCCTGGCCTGACCCGACCTGCACTCGCTTTAATGCTTTGATTTCTGTTTTGCGAACATTAAGTGCGGACCCAGACACACAGCAAACACAGCCAGACAGACAGCAAGCCGTTGATGGATGTTGGATATTCGTTGGAGCAGTACATATACGGCCGTATATCTAGATATTTTGCCATTTCCAAATGCGGGCTCAAAGTTCATTGGATTTGGACCTTTTGCCTTGGGTGGCTTTCGAAATGCTTGAAATACATATTTGGCAGGGGCTGGGAAAATTCACTCACTGCCAAAATGGAAAAGCTCGATGCATCCGCCAACAGACACAGACACTGGCAACAAAAACTGGTTACGCTTGGCAAATGCCACGCGGCAAGTTGGCCTTGGTCTAATCCACATTTCAGAATCCCCAGCTCGGAGAATCGGCTCCCAGCATCGACTGCAGCAGTAGCAGTAGCAGCAGCGGCAGCCGTAAGAGCAACAGCAACAGGCAGATACAGGCTGGTAGCAAATTCTGCCAGACCTCCGGTTGCCGTTGCCTGGCACTCCAAACTTGATATGTTTGGCCTACGTTTAGTCCGTGAGCCATGAGCCGCATTCGGGGCCTGGGCTGCCCGCCCAGAACATTGGCCAAGTGGCAGCAGTGGAGATCGGTTGTGAAGCGGGTTGGATGTCTGACAGAAACTTGACTTTGCACCACATGAAAGCGGACCAAGCCTAACAAGTGGCATTCAAGTGCGAATACCAAAACATTTAATTGCAGCCAAGATCACTGTGCCACACAGAATGAGCTTCAACAATGATGTATTGTCATCCATCATACATACGTCATACATCAGTCAGTATTTAATTGAGCCACTTACTCTTATTTTGCAGATAATTATCACTGCCATGGACCGATTCGTTTGGTTCGTCCTTCTGGTGGTGATGTCCCACCTGGTCACGGAGTTCACCCGCGTCTCCGGCTATGCCCGCGGTCAACGACACGAGCTTGTGCTGTTGAATGATGTAAGTCACCGGGTTGCTAGTGGAAACCTGCTCACAGCTCAATAAAGTATTAATTGATTTACATGGGCACACTTGAATGGGGTTTGCTCACTCAGCATCAATCCCTATGGCGAAATTGTATGAATATTCCAATTAAAATCAGAATTTCGGTCTTTTCAGACGATGCTGCAACCGATGCCAGTGCAGAATATGCTGCTCTACCCCAGCCGCCACGAGTATGGTCAGTACCAACAGCGTCCTTCCATGAACAGCCTGCAGCAGAATGCGGCTCTTCTGTTCAGCAGCCTGGCGGCAGGAGCAGGAACGGGACCATCTGTTGAGCCCAGCAGCAATGCGGCCATTCTGGCTGTGGGTGACAGCCAGCCAGCACACAATTCCGAGCCCAGCTATCCCCTTTTCAGTCTGCGCCCCTTAATTGACAGCATTTTCGAGGTGAGCTGACCGAGAGGAATTCACTCAGCAAACCATTCGAGAGAGATGCTGATTTTGCATTTGAACTTTTCCGCAGATTCCCATTTCGACGCTGCGCGCTGTCAACAATATGGTGGGACGTCTGACCGGTGGCTATCGGCAGGCAACGACGGAAGTGTCACAAAAATCTGTGGCGGCAGGAACGGTCCTGCCCTCGGGCAATCCCAGCTCCAATCCCACCACCACCGGTTCGCAGTTCACGATGTCGCAGCGCAGAGAAATGCGCGAGGAGATGTCGTAACTTAAATCCCGATTAGTTTTTAGTTGTGCATGAATGGTGGAGCATTTCTCTGAGTGTATGCTCGGGTGTTTTTCGTGTGTTTGTTTCGTGTGCATTTATGTAGTTTGTTTCTTAATGTTTGACTTTTGTGATATATGTGACGTTGTTGTAAGACTAGTTTAAGGATGTTTATGTCCGCCCCAAAAAAAGAAAATCCAAAAAAAGTATATCTATGTACATACGTTTAAAATAAATGTAGAAAAATAAAAATATGTTTCAAAATCTGTAAATTAATGGGTACTGCTTGCAAGTGGTTCAATATAAACTGCTTATTTCTGATTGAATTTTGCATGCGCCTAAGAGATGCAAACAAAATCTTCTGAACTGCTTGCTGGCAGCTGGTTTTGTGAAAAGGTAAATCAAATAGAAAATATAACGAATAAAATAAATGTGAAAGCAAAAACAAAAGTCTTCAAGTTATTAAAATTCTGCGATTCGATGGAAAATGTTGAAAGCATTTAGTTATGTTGATGGAGCACGAGGGACAGGAGAGCAAAACCTGCATGCGTGTGCTTCATTTGACTGCTTTAATCTTTCATGCACCTAAAATATGCAACATTAAATCAACGAAACAGGTGGCAGTGCTATTAAAACTGTACCGTGCTTGCTAAAAATATATGCAAGTAAAATAAAAAATAAAATAAATATTATATACAAAATAATACTTTATAAATGTAAACATGTCAATGCCCAAATATTTCCTTCCAGTCCAAAAGTCAATAAACGCATCAACCGGCATAAGTAGACAGCAGATAACCTCCTCCTCCTGACCCTCCCAATCAATCTATGAATATACGATTATCAAATTCTCATGGACTTCCTCGTTTTTCCTGGTGGAATTTATTGGAAAATGACAAATAAAAATTTAATTGAAATGAAATCGTAATTGGACAAAAGAAAATCGAGTGATTTCCCATTGAGCAAAAAGCAAACCATCCCCAAATAATTGATGTGTGATGCAAAGGACCTACGAAAACCAAATCGAAAATAATTGGATTTAATTGGAATTGATTTTTTTCTTGTTGGACCCTTTTTTGTGCCATTTGGTTTTCGGCCATCAAATTCTAAATTATCAAGCACGTGCACGGCTGATTTTTGGCCAGAAATCCGAGACGGAGACACAGGCACTGGGGAGACAGCAGAAACACATTAACACAGATGGTGGCAGTGGCAGTGGCACTGGCCGGCAGTTCTGTTTGTCATTTGAATACCTAATGATCAAATGGTTTGAACAAAAGAAGAATGCCCAACGCTGGAGCCACGTTTCACCACGCCATGAAAGGGTAGGGCCCCCCAAAGCGAAAGAGAAATGCAAATGCCAACGGGCTCGTATCTGTCACTCGACTCGATAGAAATTAGCAAACTTTCAGGCAGACTTCTTTTGTTTGCTCTTTCCGCCACACCGCATTCAACGCTTCAATGCACCCCACCGCAATGCGAATGAGATTGGAAGTTGTAGCTGCACCAAAATTACTCGTTATGCAGCCCTACTGGCAACCAGTTGCCACACGCTGCGTGCATCGCAGGCCAAGAGCTTTGAGTCGAGGCTCCCAAAAAAAAAAAGTAAACCTGCAGATTTGAGCCAATTGCACCAACCGGTTTACCAAAATGATGTGGTCTAGTGCAGCAACAACAACAGCAGCAGCGTATTCGTATACGTAATGTTGCCATGTCCATTTGTAGTCAGGGATTAGTTGGTTACCTTAGATACTACTCGATTGCTTATTTGTATGCATCCCTCTTCAGGAATATATAGCATGTATGTACTTTCCCACTCGTTTATTTAATGCTGCAAAAACCAACCAGAAATTCATATTTTTCAGCAAGAAATCTCAGCACACGGCTGGCCACTGACCACTGACAGAGTGTTTCGTCTGTTTGGCTGTGCTGTCCACATCTTTGGCTTATTTGCAAGTTCTCACCCAATTGTTAGACCCGCTGCCAGTGAGGTGCTAATAGATCGAAGCCAGTTCTTTGCTGACCAAATAGACCTTTGAGATAAGCTTGCATCATCGGACAGCAGTTCATTCGGATTACAGCGGGCAGTGCCCAGGCCTAAGAGATAATATATTGATTTGAAAGAAAGGCAGAAAACAGAACAAATTGATGCTGCTATATAAATAGACGCTTGCATATTTAATTGCGACACAATTCCAGTTTGCGGGGCATTACAACAGACAACAGACATCGGGCAGCGGTTAGCGTAAACACCAGACGGCAGGCAGGCAGGCAGTAGACGCTCGCTTCGATTCCAATCCACCTCACAGAATTCAAGTTTAAGCCGGGCCCAGGCCGACGACTCAGGCTCAGTGCGAGGCGACAACGCGGCGCGACAACAACGTACCACAAATCCGCTCAGATTCGCTCAGATTCAAAAGAAACACAACAACAGGTACATAAATACAACAAGTGGCGTTAATTAATTAAAATCCCGCGAGGCCGAGACAAAAGTTGAAATAAAATGTAAAAGCCCCATCGAAATTATGCTCGCGGGCCAGAGGGCCGCTCCCCTAAAGATTCCTCGGTTCGAGGAAGAATTCTGCGAACGCGTTGCGCATACAAAAGTGGATGACAAAGCAATTCGCTTGCTTCGAGCTTCGGCTTCAAGTTCTCTTCTCTAGCAGCTGGAATTGATTTCGTTTTTGATTGCTTTCTAGATGCGCAAAATGTTCGCCTTTATCGGAGTGCTTTGTCTGCTGCAATCGGCCATCCTGGTGCCCGCTCAGGTAAGTTTTTCCTCCCGCCGCACTTCCATTTCCCAGACCATTTCCTTGCCGCCTCAGCGTAGGTTGTTCGTGTTCGTGTTCGTTCCTGCCGCTACCAGGCTCTGGCTCTCTCAACCAGATTCTGCGGATGGCGAATATTTTAATTACAGCGAAATTGTTTTATTTATTTGCAACTCTATGCTTGGGCCTCCACCTCAATGTTGGTGCAGTTTATGCGGCCGCACATTTCAAGAACGCGAGAATCCATAAAAAAACATTGGAATGAGTCAGAGAAGTCAGTGGCAGCCATCAGAGGAATCAATTCATGGAATTCATTAACTTGATTAATAGATCAATTGATGATGAAGCATTTGTCAAGCTATCCAGAAAATCGAAACGTTAACGAAATCATGAAGTTTGCACCCGCAAGCGCGTATCTGCGGATAATATTATCGAAATTCGCATTAGAATCACTTGCCACTGCCTCGGAATCAATGCCAATGGCATTGCCGTTGATTTTATTTGCGGTCTGTGGTCTGCGGTCTGTGGCATGTTACCAAATGATTTTTGCTAGCGAAAGTGCGACCAAAATAGGGAGGATGAAGCTATCTAGCTGCTGGTTAACTGTTGTACGGGTCGAACATTCGAACATTTCGCAATTTTAGGCAATGTGCAGGGTTGACCCGAGTGGCCTTAAATTGTTGTGCAATGTCCGGCAATGAGTGAAGAATTTTTAGTGTGTAGTTTCTCAACACGCCTCGAGTTTAATTGCCAGCCCAAGGCAAATGCCTAACCGCCTGAAAGGCAATTATAAACACACTCAACCGGAGTTGGGTCGTTCGCTTATCATTAATCTTGGGGCCGCGAACCGCTACCCTACCAACTATTATACATCATTTTAATAACTGCAGCTATTGCTGCTGCTACTGCTGCTGCTGACTACCTTGAACTTTGCCTGCTTTGGCTGACTAATATCCATTTAATTGCATTTCCCCACAAAACCAAACGCCACACAAGTCGTTCGACAGTTTAAGTTCGCTTAAGGGGATTGATTGTGGCTACTCGTATCGTAGACGGTTGTTGGATTACCCCCTAAGGGTGGATTACTGTTTAAATGTACATATAGAATATAATAATTCCATTGAATATTTTTCCTATGGAAAAAGCTACGATACAAAGTTTTTTCCAGCCAATTATCCTTACTGCCACACACCTACACTCGAAGCGTATGAATTCTCCTCTTCAAGAGGGTTTAAATATGACATACGAGCATTATTCGTTTCCTATCCCTCATTCCGCCTTAAGCTGCTGTCCCAGCATTGAACAACTTTAACTTTTACTCAACCGACAGAGAAAACATTTACACACACACCGCAAAAATTTGCCTGGAAATTCTTTGCTTGTGGTTTACCCGTTTCCCCTTTTCCTTTTTTAAACCTTTTCTTTTTTGGTACTTTTTTTGATGACAATTTTTCTGGTCGGAAAGTTTATTTCTATTTTGTGTTGTACTGCTTGCGGGCTAATAGAATTTAGATTTTAATCAACGCATGCATGAAATTTGCATTTGAAAACCCCCAAAAAATCGTTTCTATGCGAGTTGTGGGAATTAAAATTAGGAATGTACGTAAAATGCCCTGAGAAGGGTTTCACCTTCACAGTTGGTGGTAAAATTTCGGCAGCGATTTCTTGGAATTCATGCAAATTGCTCGTCATTTTCTTTCCTTTGCTTTGCACTCTGCGCCAAGAAATTGTTAACATTTTTTGTTGGGCTGGAATTAAGTGCTCACTGACTCTCCTGGGGTCAAAACTTGATCCTTTAAATCTGGAAATTTTGATAACCAAAATCTTTAATTTCTGGCTCTGAATTAGCCCAATTTTTATTTTGTTTTATTCCCATTATGCAATGGCAGTGCAGCGGCATTTTCCAATGAATTGGCTGCTCGTTTGAATATGATAAATGAATACCTGAATGCTCCTGCACTTGACACCATCACTCGAGGGCATAGTAAAAGCAAAATTTAAATGGTTTCAGACAAATATTGACCTAAACTTGGCACAACCAACAAAGTTCTGTGTGCTGTTTTGTGAATTTGCTTCATTTTATTTAACTTATTTATACATACATTTATTTAATGTTATTTGCACATTTCTCTTAATAGAAATGTGCACAAAGATAGGCCAAATATGAAGTAATGAAATGTTTTCTAATTTGTTTTAGTTGTTTTCCCATTGCAAACAACACAGACGAGACCATTAGTTTGTACCGTGAAAAATGTAATTACATTTCCCATTTTAGAACCCTGTGAAAACTGCTAATATGACTAGGAAACTATGTATATTTTTCCTTTGCAAGCTTTTGGGGGACATCGCACCCAGCTGTGTGCTGAGCATTTCAACCTGCTCGTAACTATCTTTTAAGGGATCAGCTATGACTAAATCCTATTACATACATCAGTTTTGCAGTGTACTTTCAAAGGGAAATGTGCAGAAGGCGAGCTAGAAAAGCGATGCTAGACGGTTGGCAATGGGTAAGGCAGACAAGGCACAGCCAAGGTAAAGTGTTGAGGGAAAAACTGATTTACCAGACGCTTGAGCAGGCTTAAATGCCAGAGAAAACCAAACCGCATAGCGGCTTACAGTTATGCATGTGTACTGTATATATATATATATATACACATTTATCTGTGTTCTGTGTGCATCCGCCATTTGCATCTCATTATTTCCTAACTAAGTCGTACGACAAGTCGAGCACCTGCACAACAAATTGCCCGGATAAAAGTTGAAGTGAATCATAAAACTGCTAATATATAAACTTGTTAGCTACAGCTTTATAAGGATACAAACAGATGTTGTCAAAGCAGAAGTATTTCAGTGGCATAAACAAACTTTAATTGGCGTCTAATGAGTTTGAAATCCACTCGAATTGAGGGTATACTTAAATAGCAAAAGCGAAAGAAAAACTTGAATAAACCTATCGGCTATGCCTAAGAATTGAAAAAAGATAAGAGTACAAGTAGAAGTACAAGCGCTCTATCAGAGTTACTTTTGTGCACACATTTAAGTGATTATTACTTAACACTTAACAATGTAACAAGCCAAGTCAAGTGTTGATTCTATAGTAATTCATATTTGCAGCACCCAAAGAGATACAATCCCACAGACACACGCACAGACACCTCACAGATCCAGCCCATAGATGGACACTTGTAGATGTACCGATTGCGCCCCAAGCACTTGTTTGCCTCGTTGGCAATGTACAACAACAAACTGCTCGCCAATGCCACCCTCTGCTACCAGAGTCTCGGCATCGGCGTCGCCATCTGCTAGTGAACTGCTGAGATCCTCCACATGCACTGCCGTAATCCTGTAGCTATCAGCGCCATTCTGTGTGGAATTCCAGTGGAGATTAAGCAATTTATATAAATTCGTGTCTAATATTAATGTTTATCACACCTTCGAGCCGTAGACCACATCTCTGCCTGGGGTCTCGGGCGTTAGGTACACGTCTTCGGTATACAGCCGGCTGGCATATTTGTTGACATGTCCCCAGGTGACCGAGGCGCCATCTCCGCGCAGCACTTGCCCCACCATAAGCAACAGCAGCAGCAACAGTTGACTGCTCTTCAATTCCCATTCCCTAGCATTTGTCAACATGACAACATGTGTCTGCTGTCTCGCCCAGTATACGGAATGCTCCCACGTTCTAGCTCTGGTTCTGCTTCTGGTTGTGGTTGCGGTTCTGCCTATGGTTTTCTTTCTCCTCCTCCTCTTTTTGCGTGACACTCACTTTTCACTTTCCCTGGTTTCCACTCGCCCCACAGACGTACGAAACTCAAATGAGCCGCCTTCAGGTGGCCAAGTTAAATATGGTCGCTGTGTGTCTCAGCATTGGAGAGCTGTTATCAGTGGCAGGTGTTCTGGCCTCACTCACTCTCCCTCTCCCTTTTAGTGTTTTAATACATTTATGATAGTTCTCTTTGGATGGGGTTGTGTGACTTGGTTTAGTAGTTGGTCAGGATCAAAGAATTACCAAAGAATTCATTGAAAAAGAATAAGAGTACGGAAAACATTCCTTCAAGCTGCATTCACCCTTCCCAATAACATCAAATCTAATTCAAATTTAGTACACATAAATGAAAGAGCATTCAGTGGTCAGTGTACCACGAAAACTTAACCACTCTGCGTGGTATTTGCTTGGGTTTGTTATGTTATTGGCTGTCATAATTATTGATAACTACCACAAATTGCTCTCCGCGTCACACAATGTTGGACGGGCGCTCTCTCGCACCAACTCCGATATCTTTTATCAGCGATTCGAAGTTCACTGAGAACACTCGTAAATGGAGAAATATTCGGCCTGCATATCGAACTGCTGCTGCTGCTGCTGCTTGACAGCAAACTGTGCAAATATTTGTAAACATTTCTAACATTTCTGACGAACCTTGCGTCCGTGGGCGGGCGACCTTAGCCGACTTGAGCTACCCGTGCCACATCCGAGGGCTTTGAGTTTCAGAAGGCTTGTGGCTGCTGGTGGCGGAAAAAGATGAATAATTATTATATAAACTTACTTAACCGGGCACAAAGGGTGTTTGCGATTGTTTGCGCCAGGCAAAAGTTTTGCTAAAACTTTTAACTACGAGTATTACTGGGAAAATGGGCACAACATGTTAGGCCCAAAACTTTCGACAGAACCTCGCACTCTGGGAAGACAGGAAACTTTCAATCATAAAATTACGTATACGCAGCGTGTAGCGAACTTTTCTCTAAAGCTGCCGCATCTACCCTACTCCTTGCAGCTGATCACGCTGCGCGATGGCAAGGTGGGCGTGAACTTTGCCGGCTACCACGCCGATGCCGGACTGGGCGGCCTCCTCACTGGAAACTCTGCCCACGGCGGGCTCAGCGCCTCTGCCGGGACTCCCTGGGGCTCACGAGCCGCCGCCGGTCTAGGCGGTAACCTTGACGGTAGGAAATATCCACTACACTTCTCTTGATTGATTTGATTTCACTTAAACAAATTTAATGCTACTCCTCTCTTCCTGCAGGTCGCACGGACGGCTTTGGGTATGCCGCAGCCCAGGCTAATCCTTCGGTAGGCGCCAGTGCCCTCCTGGGGGGCAGCGCTGGCGAACACGGTTATATTGGCGCCGAGGCTCACAGTCCCGGCAAGACGGCAATTTCCTCTAAACAGCACACAGTCCATCAGGCGCCAGTGCCGGTCTCGCCCACTTCTGGCCCGGACTCACCACCGGCCCTGCCCACTGTCAGCAATCATGTCCAGAGGGTTAAGCCACCAAAGAAGTATTCGCTGATCAGGCCAGATGTGAGTATTTATAGACTATAAATTCCAGCCAGTAACGAGTGGCAAAAGAAAACAGCTAAGGAAATACTCCAAATCTAAGTTTTTGGGGGAATCTCTCCTGGAATTTGCTGTAATAAATGTCCAAGAGGATTCCTAAAGGGAGGGACTAGCACCTACTTTAACCAGCACTTAGCTTCAACAATTGTAAAATTATTTATGGGAATTTCCCAGAGAGGTTTCCGCAGCATGTGGACGTGCGTAAATATGTCTGTTCTCGTAATTTGTACAAATGTAAGTACGAGTGCGAGTGCTAGTAGATTGATGAATAGCGAGCGCATCGACAGGCCAACAACCAAGCAATCATCATATATCAAATCATAAACAACCCCTCCCTCTCCCCCGCTGATTTGTTAGTCGGAGCACAGCGAAATCATTGAAAATAATGTGGTAGCAGCCGCAGGATCCATCGCTCCCGCCACACACCTCCCACCAGCGGCTGTGCCGTCCACATCGGTGATAATTGTGAAGCGGCCGCGCCACCGCGTGAAGCGACCACGTCAGAGGCAACGCACCGTATACGTAATGCAGGAGGTGCAGCAAAGTGATTTGCCTGCGGGCGACATACAGGACGAGCACGAGCAGACACCAGAGGCGGAGCAGGAGAAGGTAACGGTAACGGTAACAACAACAAAAACCAAATGCGATGCGGTGTGGCAAATACACAAATACACACCAGCACAAACACACAGATGCAACACACAGCTACAAAAACACACACACACACACACCGGGATTTGGAGAGAGAGAGAGAGAGAAGGAGAAACAACATTTTTGGCTTTTGGTTGGATAAACTTTCGCTTTAGGGCGGAATTACATTTTGTGCTGTAATTTTATTTGAAAACATTTGCGGACAATGTGGGCGTGGTCATGTCGTGATGCCGGACACGCGGCCCTCGACTTGTTGAAATTATTTTGGTACCCAGCAAATATTCATACATTTTTCCCCCCCTGCCCGTTTCCCTGCCTTTCGTTTGATGCATGTGGGATGATTTTCTTTGCTTTTTGGTGGCATGAAGGTGGATTGGCAGTTTTCAGTTCCTTTATTACCTCAAACTTACCTGAATATTTCCGCCCCATCCACCCACAGGCACCAGTGAAGAGTGACGTGAAGACCGTGCAGAGCCACAAGTACTCGAAGACCGTCCAGAGGCCGCAGACGGTGGGCAATCGCCTTCTGGCACCCCAACCATCATCACCCGTTGGCCTGGCCCTCGACGTGAGTGCAGCCGATTCTAATCGTATATACACAGATTTATTTGAACTTTACCTTCAATTGCATCCATTTGCAGATTCCCATTGGCATTTTGCGCTCCCTGCAGCAATCTCTGGGCAACCTGGCCAACGGCAATGCGCCTTCCTACGGTGGGGCCCAGGCGCCCGTTCAGGGCTAAGCCCACTTTGTTAGCTGTAAGCTTCTCTTTATATACAGTTAGAACCGGTGTCAATCAATAAAGCCTTTAAGCAGCTAACCAAGTCAATCTGCTGGCTGTTTCCCGACATTGGATATATGTTGCCCCCAGCGATGGCAGCGAGTTGTGTAGAAGGCAAGCCAATCATCAAGAATACCAATGGAGGAGGCCAATGCAATACACGTACAAGATATTCAACAGAACTCACTTGAACCAGCAGGAGCCTATTAGCAGCGGCGTGTGAATTACGCACAGGAAACAAACTTAAAAACTTCCTGCTCAGCCTTCAATTATTGCATTAATGGTGCCGTACCGGGCTGGGCCATTTAATGGCTTCCCCCTGAAGAGTTTGCTCCACTGAGCTCGACACTTTTCAAGTCGAGACCAGGCAAGTGTTCCGGCCACTTTTGCTTCAGTTGTTGTTGTTGCTGTGGCTGCTGTTGCTGCTGTTGCTGTTAATTTAAAAGGGTCTCCTTGTCATTAAATCAAATGCCACAACAGGGCCAACAACGATGTGGGGAAATGAATTGAAATGGCATCCGACGTCGAGCAACTACTGCAAACAGTTCAAGGGGGGAACTTATTGTTGGGAAATTCGGTGGAAATTCAAGTTGGCACCAGGAAAATGCCAAGCCATTGGAATTGTTTGTTTAGGAGATAGTGTGTGCGTGTGTGATTGTGTATTCGTGTCTGTGTGTGTATAAGTGTATGAGTGAGGTGCCATCAAGATCCAGACCTCAGACAAGATATGGCACACACTCACACACACTCAGCCACCGCATGTGTAAGAGAGCAAAATATTTCACACTCTACAACCGCAGGCACTCGCTCGTGCGCCCCAAAATTTCGATGGCATGGCTCCCGATGCAGGGCAAAAGGACTTGGGGGTGTTCACACGTAAACAAATGCACGGCACCCAACAGTAGCACTATAAAAACAACAACAACAACAGTAACAACAGCAACAACAGCAACATGCATTGTGTAAATATGCTTAAATACTCGAAATGCTTTTATGCCTTTGAGTCCTTCCTATGCCCCTCACAAATTCAAACTCGTGACCACACAATGAAAGTAGGCGGTGGGGCATGGTTTGTAAGGATGCCATTATGTGGGCCAGAAGGGTCAGTTTGCTTAGGGCCCAACGCATATCCGGTGGCGGTTAGTTAATGTTAGTGGCTGATATTTGAATTTCTTAATTAGTGGCCCGCCTGCAATTTATCGCCATTCGGTCAGCGCTCGCTTGTTATGTTCCCTTAAAGCCCTCAAAACCTTAAAAATTGTAGCAAACCGTGGAAATAAAATAACGGGAAAAACCACAGCCCCCATCGTATCCATATGTTGAGCGAGCCACTGCTGCCAGTTTCCATTTCCATTCTCATTCTCAGATTTACGAGTACGATTTTACGAGTATATCCCTCTATCTTTAGGGTGAGGCCCCACTTATCCATTCAAAGCTCAAGCAGATAACACCGACTCATCCTTTCGACTTATTATGAAAGATTTTAGCAAGCAAAGCCATAACTTAAATTTATTTTAAAAGAAAAAAGCCCAGTATATTTCTGCATTTATATATATATACCCGTAGTATACCAGAGACCCTGCCGCATTGGTTGCCTGAGCTAGAATCAACAGCACAGCCTATTTTGTGATATTTTTTGTTGCTCTCTTTCCGCAGGTTGACTAGAGCCAGGGGCCAGAGGTCAAAGGCAACGCAACGTGAGCCCGATTTGTCGGTCGCGTCGTCGCGGTTCCCTCATTAAATTTTACGCACGTACCGCACAAATTATGTTTGCCCACACACACACTGTGTGTGTGCTCACCTCACCTCACCTACCGCCGCACACCCATCCACCCACTGTCCGATTCGTATATATTTACACATTTTTCTAATTTAGAGTTTCAGTACAAAGAAGAATTTAAGTTGGAAATTGAAAAGGTCTTGGCTACAATTTATGTGAGCCGCAAAGGCCAGCATCTAATGTATGAGGCATAAGGCTAAATCATTCAACAAAAGCGCACAAGCAATCCACCCACCCCACCAGGCTTAAGTGCGCCCCAAAGTAGACATCGGAAAATTGTATGTTCATTCACTTAAATGTGAAGGAAAAATTTATGTTTAAACGGAACGACTGTTCATGCTGATGGAATAAATTTGACAATGATTTTATGAGCGATACTCCCATACTAAGTATTTTTCAGACATCAGAATCAAAGACATCTTGAATAAATGATTCTCGTACAACGTTGCGTATGCGCCATATACTGGCATACGACTAAAACTCGCTAAGTAACTGACTGTCAGTGACATCTATGAATATTCAGTGCCTCGAGTTGCCGGAGATCGACTACAAACATATATAAAATATAAATATTCAAATATTCCAGTACTGGGGCCCATGTTTCAGAACTTTCCATTTTTCACTTGTGCTGGGGCTTGGGCTGCTGTCGCTTTTCATTCAAGTTTTCTTCTGTGCGTTAGTTAGTGTGGAAATTGTTGTACAGAAAACCAACCAGTACATACATTTACATACATATATACATAAATGGGTGTGCGTGTATTTTTTTTTGTTGCCAGCATCCAACTATACGATGTCTGCATTATTAATGAGTCGACTCCATTTAATTGAAGCAATGTGATTGTGGCCAGCGGGTGGGGGAGGGAAAAAACGCACACCCGAGCTGAACCGAGCACCTGCCATGCCGGAGCGCATGCAAATTGTGTGCCACGTGCTCGTTGTTCCATGCTAACCACGCAGACGGCTGCGAGGTACGAATGTCGACATCAACAGTTCATAAAAACAGGCGTCAATGTGTGCCATGGTGGTGTGAGTGGTGCCCATTTTTTTCCGAGATATTCGTACAGCATGCCATTTTTCAGAAATTTTTAAATACCCTGAGGTAATATAAATACATACAGAACATGGGAAAATTTACTAAGAGCAAACCAACAGTTTTAGAAAACTTTTTCAGGGTACAAACCACTTCGAAGCCTTTAAGATTTTATATGTATTTTCAGCAAAAGCGTAAGCAACACATTCAATAATTGAACGTCGTACAGAAACCTCCTAATTTTTCTGAAAATTACAGCAAATCTCAGGGGAGTAGTACAAAAGTTAAGACAAGGACATAACTTGCTAAATTGTTTGCCACTTTGTCTTGCAGTCAGCGCCACAGCAAACTCTCTTAACCGCAGCAATGATCAGGTATCAGGCCCTGGGAGTACTTTTTGGTCTTTGCCATGGGGCTTGAAAGTAAATCATTAGGCTGCATAAACAAGCACATTTATTGTGCTTGTATTAAGCTGATGTTCATGGGATTATTATATTGAAATACCAAGCAGCAGATGCCCTGGGACGTTGGGGCCAGCCTGGCAACCAGAACGGAGACACAACACAGATACAGCAGCAACAGAAGCACCAGCAGGAGATTATCAAACGCTTCGCGATAATAACCACAAGACAGGAACCGCAAAATCCCTTTGAGCCAGAAATGTACACATTAAAATTGGAACAAAATAAATTAACGTCACGGTTACCGATGCAACAGTTTGGCGGTTTCCCATAACCTTTCGCCCCTCTGGAAGCCTTGGCATCGCCCGCCCGCTGTGGGGTGGAAGTTGGACTGGCAAAAGTCGTGGCATCAAACAGAAATGTTTCCGCTTTCCCAGGCTCTCTGCTTTGTCGAGCTCTCAGTTTCGAGCTCTGGCCGGCACTGCCTTGTGGTAATAAAATCATAAATCCTCAGACAATGTTGAATGGCGGGGTAGAGTTGGGGGCGGGGCACAACCGAAAATACAGATTCCGGGCCCGGAAACGGAAATTATGTTGCCCTGTCTTTGGCTTAACCTTTGTCTTCCCCGCTTTCTGATGCCAGGACGCGGATTCGCTGCCATGAATGATTGCAGTTTAAACTCGGTTGTGATGCTTTTTATACTTTTTCAGAGTTTTCTTTTAGGTCTGAAGCCGGACGGACGAGTGAAATACCAGACCACCATGCCACCGGAAGGACATTGGGTGGCCTACCTTTTCCGCTTTTAACTCTGGCTTCCATTTTTTAAACCTCGTTTGCCGACTTTTGTTTTGCTTGGTTACACTTTTATAGCTGCACTGGCAGAGGCATAATTAATTTCATTTTACGACGAGGCGCGCTGCAAAAATGCATAAAGTCAATTAACTGAAAAAGCAGGGAAAAAGATTCAGAGCAAAGGAGCACCAGAAGCAGGAGAAGAAGACGATGATGAGGATGTTGTAGTGGCTTAACAGAGCATGCTGTAAATACAAATATCAGGGTGAAGTTGGTGTCAAGCATAAATCCCAGGGTCTGTGCCCCTACAAGCCCATTAGCTGAAAGATTTCCATATTTATGATTCTTGATTTTCACTTTAATGGTGTTTCGTTGGAAATTCAGGGAACTTAAGTGCAATTATTGGTTAATTTTTTTGATATATTGGAGAAATTGCTTTAAGGAAGGAGCAGCAGAACATGTTTTATTTTGTTCATCAAGGTTGAAACATGTCCATAGAATCTATGGCATAGATTAATACTTTAACTTGAATAATTGGCTGTCCGTCGGGGGCCTTGGCATCCTTCCTGGGGCCCGCAGGAAGTCTGAATCTGAGTCTTTATCGGAGGACGTGGATTTTCCAGCGGGGCTGTCTCACATGTCTTAGCTCGCTTGCACATGTGCATAAAGCGGGAGCTCCATGCTCGAACAGCAAGTGGCTGTCCAGGCAAATGTATCTCATCGGCGCTCACCTATAACAAAATAGGCAAAAAAAAGTAATATGCATATAGCAAAGACCATAGGCTTTTTCGAAATAAGATGATTTTTACCGCCAAATCGTTCCAACTATCGATATATCGAAATAACGATATATTGCTGAAATACTGCGCTGAGAATAGTGTTGCCGTACTCGATACGGAAGTACCAAAATATACGGTATATTTACGGTATATTATGAAAATAAGACTGTATATTTAGGTATATATTTGTGGGTCAGACGGTATATTTTGTCGATAAGAACCGGGATAAATGTATTTATAAAAGACAAAACATGTCAATCTAAGATAAAATCATTATTAATGTTTCAATGGAGCTTGGAACAACAATTTTACCATTAATTACAGACCAGCAACAATGACGTCACATTTAGTCAATAATTACGTCTTATGCTTTGTCCGTTTTTGTTTGAAAATTATTATGAAACAATCCAATAAAAAAGAGTTCTGAACACTAACCAATCCTGAATAAAATTTATTGAGAAATTGGATAAAACTATTTGTTAAGGGCTGAGAGGGCCCACTAGCTAGTAATATTAAACGGGATATCAAAATCGAGGAATATCAACGTTGAATGTTTTAAAAAAAAAAAAAATCGATACTATAATGATAGTCGCAAAACCTTCGATAGTATCGGATAGCAGCAAAACATCGATACTATCGATAGTGCCCTCGATGGTTTGACACCTCTACATTGCCCGAACTTTCCGCCGTAAAGGTAAACAAATTTGCCAAAACAACAAACTGGCAGTTTCAACCTTCACTGTTTGGCATGAAATGAGGTATCAGGAGGTCGATTGGGCCTGATGTGAGTATGTGGGTGGTGTGAGCACGCGCGATATTGCAATTTGCAAACGCGGCAATGTTCAAAAACTTCGGGTTTCATTCGAATGGCGGCCGAGTAGCAGAAAGGACACGCGCCGCGCAACATTTTCAAACTGCCTCTGTGCCACGGGACCCAAACAAACCATAAATCGTGTTTCTGTCGCTGGCGTTGTGTTGTGTGTGTGGTGGGGCATTGAAAGTTTAAGCAGGTTAACTGAGAGAATTGTTGTTGCCATTTCAGCACTTGAAGCCATCAGCCATGGAGGATTTCAGCAGCATTAAGCCCAACAGCTCGGTGGTCAAGCTGGCCGCCTGCCTGGAGAAGGTATACAACAAAATCGTCGAGAGCCGGGAAAAGCAGGTCGCCGAACATCAAATCAAAGAAATTGACTTTCTTAAGACCCAATGCAAGCACGAGCACATGCAACTGAGCCTGATGAGCTGTCAGACGCTGGTGCGGCTCGTTGACGAGGGTGTGCTGGATGCCAACAGTGTGCAGAACACACTCCTCTCCATGCTGGGCAATGCCGGGTAAGGACTTGCATCGAAACCGACGACCCACATTACACACTTCCATTGGGGCGCGCCTCTGAACTTCCGGAGTGGCAGACAAGCCAAATGGAACGCAGCGAATCCAATTGCGAAATTGCTCGCAAAAGGTGCATAAATTACTGACTGGGCGCAGAGCAGACTGCATTTGGCCCGGAGCACTTAATTAACCGACCATTTAGCGGTTGCCAATGTGCAGATTGGGACTGCTCTTAACATTGTTCTTCCAATCGGCACGCAATGCTACACATTTCCGCTTGCCGCTTGCGGCGTTCCGTGCCGCGTGCCACAAATTAATTGCCCCAGCACTTGGCACGTCATGTGATAAATGGGAGAATGAAATATGACTTGCTGGATGGACTAGGGCTAGGAAATCCAAGCTGTTTGACATTGACTTGATTTCCGCTGACCGCAATCCGAAGTGCTCAATCTTGCAGTGCCCAACCCAGATCTGGGATGGGATTGTGCCCGGGGTGCCATAAAATCTATTAGCCATTTCCCAGCACGCACATGTTGCCCGGACTCTGTCCACACCGCCCACATGCCACATCCTGCTGGCCTTGCCTTACAAATTTTTCTGTTTTGATATATGCAAAGCGAGTAAAAACTCTGGCATTGAACTTGAAATGTTTGCGTTGCCCCTCCCCCCAGCCTATCCACCCTGAAGGACGTCAAACGGTCATGTAATGCAGGAGCAGGAATTAGCCTTGATGAGCGGCAAGTGTAGGCAAAAAGGATTGCATATTAATTGGCTTGCAAGGGGAGCGAACCACAATTACAGGGCCCGGGGAGGCCAGAAGCCGTCATCCGGTGGCCAACGCGTGAATTGTAATTACCCCGTCAAGCGCAAAGCGATTTACCCGCGTGGAACTGCTTCCTTGCATATGTGCAAGTCGTTAGGCGTCGTCTCCGACTCCCTGCACTGCAACGGAAGTTGGTCTAAACGCCAGTTAGAGCTGACCGCTCCACCCTAATGTTAGCTTCCCCATCAGAGTTCTGTAATCTGTTATTACATCCCACCCAACCGCACCCCACCCACTCTGTGTCAATTTTCCATTGCAGCCCGATGCACTTTGCCATCATCACGGAGAGCGTAGTGGGCCTACAGCTGCTCAGACTGAAGCAGAAGACATCGCTGCTGAAGGAGCCGGAGACGTATCAGTGCTCGTATGGCCTCAAGACCCAACAGCATCCCCTCATATCGCTGCTGCAGCACTCCAGCGTCAATATGAACGATGTGAGCAACAAGATCATCGGCATTTGCCAGCACCACGACAAGAGGTGAGCCTCAACGATTGCCACTAGTAAAGCTTTGATTGATATTTGAACTCCATCCTCAGCATACGCAATCACAGCGTAGAGTATCTGCGTCCCGTGTTCCTCTATGTGCTGTGCAATCCGCAGACGCTGCACGATGTCAAACCGATCTGGACTTGCCTGCTCGGCCTGAGTAAGAGCCAGCCAGAGGCCCTTGCCCTGATGCGGGAGCTGTTGTCGTGGAGCAAGTTCAACAACGCCAGCACCTGCCTGTCCACCAGCATCCTGGTGATCGAAGCCATCGATTACTTCCTGCAGCAGTCAGATCACGCCCAGTCCATCGATCTGTGCATCTACCAGGCTTGCCTGATCAAACAGCTGGCAAATTACGGCATTGATCCTCGGCCCAGTCTGCTGTGCTTGCAACGCGCATTGCATGCGACGCGTGAGCATACCCGGGACCACTACCATGTGCTCCTGGTCCTGCTGGCGGAAGTGCTGCACGTCTTGTCCCCCTTCTACCTTGTCGACTTGCTGCGCATCATTGTGTTCGTGGTCGTGCAGGAGCGCAGTGGCCATGAATACATTCTGAACATGTGCCTGGATGGCATCATTCAGTGGATGTCTCAGACTGCATTCATACCCGCCGAAGGGCTGGCCCTGGCCAACCAAATAGTACAGCGTGTGCTCGACCTCCAGCAGTCGGATGAGGGCGAGCGGATATCCACCAGGCAGCTGCAGCCGGCCCACATGCGCAACTATCATCCGGACATAGCGATTGCCTTTGATCTGGCCAATCTTGTGGAGTCTTTCGATGCCTCCGAGAACCAGGATGTCTTCGCCTTTGTCGACGCCCTCAATGTCAAGGCCAACACGGCCTTCTGTCAGCGCCTGCATCTGTTCCTGCGCGCCCTCTTCCTCTCCCGACAGCCGCCCGTTGACTGCTGGTTCAAGATCTACGAAGTGCTCCTGCAGACCATTAAGGTGAACGAGGGCATCGCCTACGACTTCCTCATGACCTACATATTCAAGCTAGCCCACGAGAACAATCCCGAGCTGCAACTGGAGCTGCTGCGAGGCCTGCCCCACTTTGCCGTGTCCAAGGTGAGCTCTCAAATGAACATCCCACGAGTCTACAACTAAAATATTTCTCGTTTGGCCAAGGACAACGTGCCCATGATTCTGAACACCATTCGAAATCTGTCCACCGAGAATGGCACCTTCTGTGTGGATCTGTATCTGCGTCTGTGGCGCGTGGAGACGCGCACCTATCCCTTCCTGCTGAAGCAAGTTTCCCAGCCGCTGCCGGAGGGGGATAAGCGCTGGGAGCTGCAAGTGGCCCGAACCCACGCCATGCGCGAAATCTGCCAGGAAAAGTAGCCCACAAATGAACACGGATGTTGTATTCTTTTCCTCATCCCAAATCCATCTTTTGCAGGCCAACTTTGCATGGCTCAGAGCTGCTGCCTCACCTCAGCAATACCCTAAACAGCTGCACCGATGAATCGGGCGATCTGGCTACATCCCTGGCCTTGGATGCCCTCTATGCCCTGTGCGACAGCCACACGGTCAATATAGCATCCACGTGGCATGCTCTGGGTAGCAAGTTCCGCGGCGAACAGCGTCCGCAGACTCTTAAGTCGCTGTACCATTTCTTTGGCTTAGTTCCGCTGCTGCAGACACCCACGCTGGAGTACGAGAAGCTTGCGGATGATGCCCTGGAGCAGCTGTGGCAGGCCATCAGTCGTCCGGGCACAGACGCAGCACAGATTCGCAATGCTCTGGCAGCGTTAAAGAGCTACGAGCCAGGAACGACGCTCAATCTGCGGCACATTCCGGCTCAGTTTCGTTTTGAGATTGTCGGCGGTGCACTGGGAGGCGGACCTAGTGGCCGAGAGGTGGTGGATCTGCAGGAGGAGACTGTGCCCGGCGAGGTGTGGGTGCAGCTGCTCCAGAAGATTCGCCCGGAATGCGGAGATGCGGCAGCAGATCTGATTGCGCACCACATAGGCAACGATATAAACGGCTTCCGCAGCGGAGTCTACCGCCTGCCCGAGGGCAAGCCAGAGCCGCGCAAGCTGGTCGGCTTGTTCGCGACAAGTCCGCTCCGTGCCGTTACTAACTACATGGTGGGCCAGGCCCGTTTCGGGGACTACGTGTCAGAGCCCTATGCAGTGACTTTTGCCCTCAGGGCGTTGTCCAAGAAGTTTCCCAAGCCCATACCACCGCTCGACTGGAGCTGCCTGACGAGCTTCTTCCACCTATCGTTCGATGCGCGCAAGTACTGCATCATGATAGCCAAGAATCAGGCATCGAGCTCTGGCACAGCGAAGCGCTTGCTGGAGAATTTTCTTGTGGACTTCGAGCCCAATTGCTTTGAGGAGGATCTGCTGTTGCTGTTCTCCCTGCTGCCGGAGATTGCCAGTAGCGTGAGCCTGCAGATAATCAAGAACTTTGCCGAAAAGGTGGCTGTCTATTGCTTCAAGGAGTCACAGCTAAACGACTTTGCCGAGGGTGAGTGGCGACCTTTAATGACTTGCTTTTTGTTCAGGCGATGACCACCTCGTGTCCTACTGTTTGCAGGCTGCCTCTTTGAAAAGTTTCTGGACAGCGTCAAGTACATATTCACGGGAAAGTGCGACATACCCGAGGTGCTGGATGTGTTCACGCTGATTGTGGAGCGCTACATGGACTCGATGAATCTGGACTCGAGGCTGTTCGAGCGTTACACAGAAGTGGTGGCCGTGCTCCATCCGAATGCCATCGACGGGCTGACCACGCCCGCCAATTGGTGGGAGACGCCCGTGGGCAAGCTGAAAAAGGCCACCATCATCCGATGCTATCTGGTGCTGTACAACGACAAGCTGCCCAACCCACTCAAGTGGCTGACGCCCATCATCGATGCCTACGAGAAGCGCACGGAGGAGCGGTCGTTCTTCTATCGCCACTTGGCTGCCACTCTGTATGCCTTTGGGAGCGACGAGCATGCCTGCAACTGGATCATGGAAATATTCCTGGAGATCCAGATGCTGCTGGCCGAGGCCTCAAACAAGGAGAAGGTGAACAGGGCTCTCTATCTGCTGGACATTTTCATTTTGGCCGTGGATGTGCTCTCCGGCTGTGCCGTGCTGCTGGGCAGTGTCGATGTGGTGGCCACAGACGATAAGCAGCGACTCATTCTCTTTCCCGAGAGCCTGCAGTATCTGTGCGATCACATATTCTGGAAGGATCATGAAGCAAAGGTGACTAGAGGAAAACTCCACTATTTATTTCCTAATCATTTTGTTTTGTTTTGGTCTTTTAGATCTATGAATTCCTGTTTAATCTATACAAGCACAGTTCGATGCCTTCGGACTATGCTGACGTCTTCAAGGAGGCAATCATTTGCTCCCGGAACAAGCCGTACTTCGACCACAAAGGGGTCTGGACCAAATACGTAGGACTGCGTAAATGAACACGACGAACACGCCGCATTTAATACTCTACCCCACGCCTAAAGTGCACTTAATGGTTAACGATCACCGAATACCGTCAATGTTAGTCAACTTTTGATAGCAAACGCATTCTTTGTTATTTCTATGTGTTTAAAGTATATTAAATGCATTTTTGCGCACAATATTTGAATTTAAACGTTTCCAGTGCTGCCAGACCAAGCAAAAGTGTTGAAAGTTCTCGCGCAAACTATCGCCAATAGTGACGCTGGCTGTAAAATATATTATCAACAAACACTATATATCGAATCAATATTATCGATACATAATACTTCCATATTTCACATCCCTAATACTAATATATTTATTAAAAAAAATGCATATAAACTAGGAAAAAAGTGTATTTAAATTGTATTATCAGTGCGTGTCACGTGCTGCAATCCCGATCGGCTGTGAGGCAACCTTGTAGCTATTATTCCACGGATACTCGGCGACTAAAACAAAACGTAAACAATGGACGATATCAAGCTGGCTAAGGTATGTTTATGGCCTTAATCAAGTCCAAACTGTGCTATTTGTTGAACAGTAGTCACCTTTGTGGCATTGTCCAATCTAAATCCTGGATAAGAGTTGTGAGTCATGCTGCACAGCCCTTGTTTGCTCCACCTTCTGCTCGGACTATTCAAAATCGATGGTCAACCTGGACGGCGGGCGACAGAGGAAGGACCGGCACAGTACCAAGGGCACCCTGCCTCCCAAGCGGGTGTCATCTCAGTTTGCCGCAGGACACACAAATCATGTCTATTTATATATAAATGTATTTTAAAACATGCGCATAGGAATGGGATGGGAATTTATCCAGAAATATGTCTCCTCGTGCTCTTTTCCCCTACAAACACACACACACACACACACACTCAGGCGCAGATTTGTGGAGGTTACTTTTTAGCCTTCATCCAAACATCATTTTAGCTGAACCCACAAGTTCAACACCCACTCTCAATTGTCCCTTGACATTGCAAATAGAAATAAAATCAAGACTACACGCACCATTTTTAGTACTCCCTTTAACGATATGTGAGTCATACATAGGACACTTAACATTTAAATATAATATATATAAAGCCCTAAGAATAGTATGCAAGTATTTACTTTGTTGCTTTTAACGATTTTGCTTAGTTTTCTATAGCATGAGCAAATTTTCCTTGGGCACCCACTAATCATTGCATGCCTTAAGGCGCTATATACGCACAAGTTGAACCCTAAATACCCACTCCTTACAGGGTATGCCAGTAGTATTTGCTTTGTTTTACTCTTTAGGCGCCAGCTGCTCTCTTCCCATTGGCTGAGCAAATTTCCCCCTGGCCAGAAATTTCCCCAACAGCAAGCATAGCATGCATTTAGGCGCGCGCCAGCCACACTGGCAGCTGAGTTCACTCCCAGCACTCGTGTCGGGAGCTTGTTCTTCTGCGGCACCACCACACCCACAAACACAACGAGCCCCAAAGTGGGAATAACAAAGTGTCCAAATATACATACATGTGCACATACATACATACATACATCCATATACATACGTAGTACGTACTTTGTGTGCTGTTAGTCGAAAAGTGAAAGTATCGAACCTAACCATCCCGTCCCAGCACCGCCTGGACTCACGTGATTTGATTTATAAGCCAAAAGGGCCAGTGCCTGTGCTCGTGCTCGTCCCTGCCCGCTCATTCTCTCTCCCTGTAATTCAAAATCAATAAGACATTGTGCAACAAGAACAACAACAACAGCAATAAAAACAAAAACATTAGCATAAACTGCGAAACGAAACTAAAGGAATGGACTTTACCAGATTCATGAATAAATTCAACGAAATCGAACGCCAACTATCCCCCACATCGGCCCTGCGTCTGAGCTTCGACAACATATCGCCGGAGACGGAGGAGCCGCCCGATGGCAACAAGAGGCTATGGGGCGTGCCGGTGCCACCGTTTGTCTCCGACAAAGTAGTCTCCTGGATCGAGGAGGAGTTTAACGAGGCCCCTGTCTTCTACAACGGCAACTGTGTGCTCAAGAAGGTAACAGACATCCTCCATCCTGGCTTCAGATCCGTTTCATCGCCTTGCCTATGCAAAACCGAGAGAAAGTCAAACAAATTTGTCTTTTTTACGCATAGCCGCCGGCTCTTGGCCGGAAATTATGCAAATCCCCCATCGAGCTGGAGCAATATGTTCGGCGCCCTCGACTTGACCCCGCTTGGCCTCTCTCCAGGCCCCATTTCCTTATTTGGGTCACTCGATTCCTGCTGCATCCTGGCGCCATTTGTGTAGCCATTTCCCCCACAAATACTCACAAATTGCTGCATAGTCAGCGCAGTACTCGAGTCGAGAGCTGTACAGGAACTGCTGGCAGGGCGGCCAATTAAATGAGTGGGCGTCCCATCGTGGTCACAGATGGAATAGCCTTTGGACAAAATTGCACTCGTCCATCAAAGCGCTCAACCGCAAACTGCAACTGAAAAGGCTTCCCAAGTCTCCTGACAACTGTCGTCGCCTGTTTTCTATTCCGCTTTCAATTTGCCATCTGTTGAAAATCGAATAAAGCATTGCTTGACGAAGAGCAGAAGCAGAGGATGCTATGTTTATTGAGTTTGGATGCAATCAAGGGATCCCAATCCTCAAAGCCCCTTGTATACTCGCCATGATGTAGGTTCAATTTGCATGTTAAATTGAATCCAGACATTCGTCTGCCTGCCGCTGTCCTGCTGGGGTAATGAAACGACCATCCCACTGACAATTAACTAACCTTATCTATAACAAGAATGGCCCCGCCTCGAACAGAACAGGAGGCGAAGCCAAAGCCAAAGTCAAAGCCCCCGTATAAATGACATGAAAGGAAATTAGTCTGTTGATGAGCAGGCCCCAGCGGCTGGGGCCCTCGGGCAATAAGAACTGCCACAAAGAGGCGGCAGGAGATAAATGAGAGTGTGAGGATGAGAATGAGGACCATCAAATGCATGAATGGGATGGATGGCTGCCAAGCGGTTTTGTTTAATGGTTGAATGCCATTCTTCTAGTATATTTTAAAGCTCGCACTCGTTTATGGAGTCTATTCTAGGAGAAGGGTTGCACGGGAATTTCATAGAAAGTTAAATAAAAGAATCCCTTTATCCTTTGAACTTGCTTCTTTTTCCTGGCAATGCAGTGGCTTCTGTAATATTTGTGTGGGTGTGTGGGTGTGTAGGGGGGAGTGGAAGTTGAAGAGTGGGTTATGCGGCTGTGGCAGAGTGTGGGCTGCTCACTGACGTCAGCAGGCAGCTGCAATTGAAATGAAGATGGGCTTAAATGCCATTTTGGGGAAATTATGTAAAATATTCATGCGATGCCTGCTAAAACCATTTCCAACTGTTCTCTCTTCCTCTCTTTTTTTCTTTTGCTTATGTTTCGTCGCCAGGTGGAGAATGTGCGGATGATAGATCGCTACAATACCAAAAATCCCACTGTCGGGACACTCTATCTGACGGCCACCCATTTGATATTCGTCGAGCCCGAGAGCAACAAGGAGACCTGGGTAAGTAGCCACCAAGAATATGACATCATCAATTATTTTATGCCCCTCCTTGGGGCAACTTGTTTGTGTGTGTACTTTTTGAATTGAAAACACCGTGGAATGGGCCACAAACAATTTAGTGCCGTGCCCCGACCTCTGAGTCACCTCCCGAGTCGTCATGTCGTGTGGTTCTTATGGACACGGGGAAACGTGCTCAAATATGTGTTTCCCAGCTGGGGGTTTGGGCTTGACCTCGCACTGGCAAAAAGTTTGAGGCTTATTCTCCATCTCCCTGCGAGACCTGCACTCTGCACTAAGAATGATGTCTGACAGTCGTGGATGCGGCGCGCTTCCGCCACTTGGCTCAAGCATGAATGCAAAAAGTACAGAAAAGTTCCTCCTAAGAAGTTGCCTCAAGGCTTTCCTGTATTTGCGCTTTAAGTTTCCGCTTAAATTTGCAATCAGTGCACAGAGAAAAACTTACCAGAAGCACGTAGCGTATAAGCCCCAACGCAAACGCACAAATTGAATCCGGCCAGCATTTATATATTATGTACATTAATTGCGCACAGCACAGTAGTACATTCTCATCAGGCATAAACCCCAGCGTGGCGTCTCTTTGAATTTACTAGGGGTGGCGGAAGGGAGAGGAGAGGGAGGCTGCTGTGCTGGTGGTTGCACAAACCGCTTAGTCAAGCTGCTACGGCTTAGCGCTCTTTTGCATTATGCGAGGCATTGCGATTTGTATGCCTCAAAGCAGAAACACTTCAAAGGAAATGCAAAAATAAAACTGAAAGGGGAAGGGGCAGGGGCAGGGGCAGCATGATCAAATTACTATGTAATTACCACAAAATCCTGTTGGCTCTACCAATTAGGGAGATTCGCACAAACTTTAAATTGCATTGCGGCTGCTGCAGCAGCTCTTGCGTATACGTAATATTTCCGAGCAGGAGCGCACACATGCATCGCATTTTAATTGCCTGCCCGAAAATTGCATTAATTATGCTCTCCACGCGGCAAGTGCACGTGCGACAAGTGCCCCCCAAGGCAGAGGGAGAACGAGACTCTCTTGTTGGCCCAGTGTTAAGAGGATTAATTAAATGTTAAAGGTCTTCGAGTGGGTGGTTCTCCATCAAGTGGGAATTTTCGGAGTGTGTATTGATTTTTGGTGGCGTTCGCTCATAATCCCTCGGATTGGCAAGGTACGAGCCACAGGCTACTCGGGATTATTGTTTTTACTGCCACTGAGGCGCGTCAATAATTAAGTGGGGAAGGCACTCAGTGGCCGCCCAGGCACGTACTTCTGTTGACCCAATGCCTTGGGTGGGCACTTTTCCTTCAGTATCTTTAGTTTTTGCTTCGCGGAAAGCGTTGCATAATCGTAGTTCTGGTCGATTTCATGGCACAAATTACAATTGCTGGCACTGGCATTGGCATTTGCTACTTGCAGATTCTGCACATGCATGTGGCCAGCATCGAGAAGCTGCCGCTGAGCACAACCGGATCGCCGCTCCTCATACGCTGCAAGACATTCCTGTCGGTCACATTCGTGATTCCCAAGGACTCCGAGTGCCACGACGTCTACACATCACTGCTGAAGCTCTTCCAGCCGGGTGAGCAACGATATATGGAGGCAGTGCATCACTTCATACCCATCCTCCTCCTACACAGTTTCCATCAACAAATTGTATTGCTTCAACTATCAGCCGGCCAAGGATGACTACCCCAAGAGCGCTGGCTGGGACTTCTTCAAGCTGGAGGCCGAGTTCAAGCATCTGCTGGTGCCCAACGACAACTGGACTCTGTGCTCGATGAACGAGAAGTACGAGCTCTGCGACACCTACCCGCGCCAGATCTACGTGCCCAAGGAGGCCACCACTCTGATGCTGATCAGCAGTTCGCGCTTCCGCTCCAAGGGTCGCCTGCCAGCGCTCACCTATCTGCACAACAACAAGGTGGGTGGGGTGTACACTTCACAATGTTCACACTTCACTCCAATTCTCTCACTGCTTTAGGCATCCATTTGCCGCTGCAGCCAGCCGCTGTCTGGCTTCAGTGCCCGCTGCCTGGAAGATGAACAAATGCTGGAGGCCATACGCAAGACAAACACAAACACAGACTACATGTATGTGGTGGATACGCGGCCGCGTGTGAGTAGCATTTGACATTCCCTGACAGATGAGGAGCATGCAAATAGACCCACCCTCCCCCCAAACGCCTTTCAATGTTTGCAGATCAATGCGATGGCAAATCGAGCCGCCGGCAAGGGATACGAGAACGAGGCATTCTATGAGAACATCAAGTTCCATTTCCTGGGCATCGAGAACATACACGTACAGCGCGCCAGCCTGCAAAAGGTGCTGGAGGCCTGCGAACAGAAGTCACCCACCATGAGCGCATTCCTCAATGCCCTCGAGTCGTCTGGCTGGCTGAAGCACATTCGCTCCATATTGGACACGTCGAGGTGGGCAAACATTCATTCAGCTGGGCTGGGGACAAATGGGGAAATTATTTGTTGACAGCTGAACAAACAGAAACTCCTCTTTCTCCTCCTTCTCTTGGCAGCTTCATTGCAAATGCCGTGGACAAGGGCGTCTCTGTGGTGGTACACTGCTCCGATGGCTGGGACCGCACCGCTCAGGTGTGCTCGCTGGCGCAGCTGATGCTGAATCCGTACTACCGCACAATCAAGGGCTTCCAGGCACTGATCGAAAAGGATTGGCTGGCCTTCGGGCACAAGTTCAGCGAGCGATGTGGCCACATTCAGACGGATGCGAAGGAGGTGTCGCCCATATTTACGCAGTTCCTGGACTGCACCTGGCAGCTGATGTCGCAGCGCAGCGAGGCATTCGAGTTCAACGAGCGCTTCCTGCTCATCCTGCACGACCATGTGCACTCGTGCCAGTTCGGCACCTTCGTGGGCAACTGCGAGAAGGATCGACTGGACCTGAAGCTGGTCGAGCGCACCTTCTCGTTGTGGGGCTTCATGGCCAATCACCTGAACGAGTATATCAATCCGCTGTACAAGCCCAATGTGGATGAGGCGATCAAGGCCAATCTGGCGCCGCAGTGCATCAAGTAAGGATTCTGCACCAGCCCGTCTGCGTTTGCGCCTTTTCTCATCTTCTGTTACCATCCGCAGATTCTGGCGAGGAATGTACTGCCGCTTTGAGAGCGGCATCCATCCGCGGGAACCGCTGGGCGACCTGCTGCTCGACAGCAAGGAGCACACCAACTCGCTGGAGGATCATGTGCAGCATCTTACCAAGCGCATAGCGAGCTTCAAGAGCTACATCTCCAAGTCGGCCAAGAAACTGCAGGACGCCACCAGCACCACCACCAAGGTCGCCAAGGAGGCAGGACAGGTGGCGGCTAATCCCAACGAGATCAATGACAACAAGTAGAAGCCCATTGGCAGCGTCGATTGAGTCCCCCCTCTAAGCTCTGATTCCCCCTTCCAGATACAACTACGACAAGAAGCTGAGCGAACTGTCCGCAGCAGACGACGACCACCCCTTAAAGGCTAACAACATGTCCTTTGCCAATCTCTCGCTGAACGCAGAGCAGACGAGCCCCCCGCAAGCCCTGCCCGACGAGATCGACTCTGTGGCTATTGATTGGAAGCCCATGCGCAATGTGACCGCCTGTTCCTGCTCCACGCCCTTCGATCAGTTTAGCAAAAAGGTGAGACAGAACTTGACCAGAGATTTACGTAGCTTATCCCTAACCCCCCATATCCCCCGACAGACACATTGCTGGCGTTGCGGCGATATCTTCTGCGAACGATGCATCGACAAGAATGTGTCGCTGCCAGGCCACGACAGCGGCAAGCCGGTGCCCGTGTGCCGCGGCTGTTTTCGGCAAATGCAGAAGAACAGTCCGTAGAGGATGCTGCCAGAGGGTAAACTTGTAGCCTAATCCATAGTTATAGTACATTGTTGAGTCGTCGTCGTCGGTCGTGTTAGGTCTGTGTGCTGGGGGAGGAGTGAATGGATGAATATACAATTATAAAAACCATAAATTCTATTAATTATACCATATTTATTGTTGCATTTGTAGTGGTAGCTGCTTAGAAGCTCCTTCGAGTTGTTGCAAAAAGCAAAACAAAATTAAACACTAGAGCAAATCCGATACCATCTAGATCGCGATAGATTGGCCTCCAGGCATGCATATAGGATCTATGCCATAAGTCGGGCACAAATCTGTATATTTTGTTTGTTAAATTTATGTAGTTTGGCACCCACAAAACAAACACACACAAGCGAGAGTACAAGGGAAGGCATATAAAACCTATTAAATATGTGTCTATAAATATAAAGCGTAATCAGCAGGGACCGCTGTGCGAGAACACCTTTTTTTTATTCTATTCTATTCCATTAATTGTAATTTAAACAGCAGAGAAGGAAACCCACCCATTCTATCTATTCTATTAAGCCTGATATATGTATGATGTGCAATCAAAACTGTCTCGAGTATAGAAGTTCCTTCAGCCACAATCTACATACAGAATACGCCTCCCCCCCTCTTAAGCTGCGGTCCCTCGCATTAACCTGCAAGGAAAAAACATAAAAAATACTATTCAAAATTGTTTATCGATTTGATCAAAATGTAATAATAAAAAATAATATTTATTCAACAGCAGCGGAGTTTTGTCTGATCCGACGATTAGTAGCCGATGTCTGGTTTGATGCGCAGAATGACGGGCACACTGGTGCAGGGCAGGATGGCCACCTCGGTGACGACGGCGCTGACCAGCTCGGGTGGCGTAATATCGTAGTTCAGATTGAGGGGCGTGAGGTGGCCCTTGGCTGGCCAGTTCTTGAGGCAGCACTTGTCGTCGCGCACCAGCTCATTAGGATCGCTCAGCTCGTTGTAGACAATGGCATCCGTCTGGAATCGTTCGCTGAACTTGTGCGTCTCGCAGCAGACCAGAACGGGAACGTTGTGGCTGTTGGCCACGAGGGCCACCTGGGCGGTGCCTGTGCGCGCCATCACATAGCCGTTGGCGAGCAGGGCATGGGCACCCAACAGCACCTTGGTGGCCTCGGTCATCACATAGCCCACGGCATTGATCAGCACATAGGTGCAGGGTATACCGTGGGCATGCAGCCGACGCAGCATCTCCTGGCCCTCACAGGTGGGACGCGAATCGACGACAATGACACGAAAGGCGACCTGTCGCCGCTTGGCCTCCTCGCAGATGAACTGTATCAGCGAGGAGCAGCCAAAGGTGAGCAGCACATCGCCATCGGTGATCTTCTCCTGCAGAGAGCTGCTAATGGCCTGGGCCGCCTTGCCAATCTGGTTCTCTATGTAGGTGTCGATGAAGTGGACGATTATTTCCTTCATCTGCAAAAACGATTGGATTTGGATCAGCAGCCCTGAAGCAGTGACAGTGGCGAGGAGAAACTTACCTCCGCCTCTGGCACATCGGCCGGCAGTTGTGTGACCTGATTCCTAAACTGTTTGTAGGCATTGGACACGGAGACGGCCAGCGGGCGACACTTGTGCAGATGATCCACGTGGTGCTGCACCGCAGCATCCAAGCTGCGGCCAAACTCCTTCTTGGCTGGCGTCTCGAAGTCCTGCACCACCTGCCGCAGGGCATGCAGGAAGGCAATGCAGCGCGCATTGGAGCCGACCACTGTGCGTTGAGCGTACTGCACGCCCAGCCGCGCCATGCTCGGATGCACCAGCGGATCGTTGATGAACAGGCTGGCCCCCTTCTCTGCACAAACCAAGTGATTGAAGAGCTTTACTTTGCACTCTGACTTGGCGGTGCTTGACGTATTTTTGCTGGGTGAAGCAGCCGTCGCTGACTTGACTGGGGAGACGCTTTCCCGTTTCAGTTCCTTGGGTGTCGTGTGCGTGGCCGCAGCCTTTGTCTTAGCAGTAGCCGAAGCCGGAGCCTTGGCCGCTGGCTGCGCTTTCTTCACTTGTCCTTGTCCTTGCGCCTTGGCTGCCCGTTGAGCTTCCTGTAAGGCCCGCCGATCGGCTTTGCTGAGAGCGGGTTTCTTCTGTGAATGGCAGAGGATTAGAGGCTTTTCAGTTTAATGTTAGAAAGGTTTCTTGCCTTTTCCTCCACCACTGCAGGGGCTGGAGCTACGGTTGGTGCTGGAATCTTCTCTGTCACCTTTAAATTGGCCAGCTGCTGCACGGGGGCTTCGACCTTCGCTCCACTTGATTTGGCTACCTTGGCAGCCTGCTTGGCCGCCTTCTTGGCCTCTCGCTCAGCCTTGATCTGGTCGCGAGTCTTGTCACCAGTTTCCGTTCCTGCCGCCGCAGTGAAAGTGACCGCGGCAATTGGGGCAGCTATCGCTGCAGTTCCTGCGGACGGTTCTGGCTTGTCCCTGGCAGTGGTTGTTGTCGTCGTTGTCAGCTTGGTGGTTATGGTCGTCTGCTCCACTTCGGTGATGATTTTTGTCGCTGGTGGTGTAGATGTTTGTTTCTTGGCCTGCTTGGCTTGCTTCTTGGCCTCGCGCTCTGCCATGACCTGCTCACGCGTTGCACCATGCTGGCTGCTGTCTCCTGGCATTGCACTCTCAGTGGGCGCGGAATCGGTAGTCGAGGATTCTGTTGTAGTCGCAGTGCTATCTTCCAAGCGATTTCGTTTGTTTCGGGGTCGATTACGTTGCCTCAGTTTCTTTGGCTTGGCCTTGGTCGTCTGACTCTCGGTCTGTGGGAGGGTGGGGAGTGTTATTAGTTGAGTTGAGATAAGTATCAGGCTGGTAACCCATTCTAAATCAAATCATGAGGCATGCAAAATCAAAGACTACAAGTGCACTACGATGCTAATAAATGAGTGAGGCCTGATACCTGTGACACCTGATCGTTCGTTTTATTCATTTTGATAGCTTGCAAGGAGACAGACATGGAAATTTAAATGGCAAAGGATGTGGAAAGCCTGTAGCTTGAAGCCCTTAGTAGCGGCACTATTAGGACACACAAAGAGGTTAGCAAATGGTAGAATTTCTCATTAACCGGCTTGTTAATTAACTATTTATATGTTTTAGCGTCCATTTACCTTACGATTTGTTAAATTTTGTTTGCTCACGACGACAAAAACTCCAGCTGATTTGAAAGGCGATCTATCGATATTATCCCAAGTCTTGCAGCCCTAGTTTCAATCTAGCAAATCCTACAAATAAGCCGGTTTACATTATATTTCACGACACAGTAGCTAAAATAAAGATAAACTAAGTGAGCCATATATCTATGTTACATTCTGTCACCATAGTATATTCGAAATTATTAACACAAAAGTATATTTCCGATTACCGCTACGCACGATAGCAGCACAAAGTTGATAGCTTTCCTGCAGAGTTGCACCTGCCGATTTTATTGTGTTCTTTCATCGAGGTACGTTCGGTCGACATTCGCAGGGAAAATTACATAATTTTTTGCATTCTATTTTCTCGCCACTGCAGTATCTAAATCAACAACTACCATGGCCGACAAAGCTGCTCCAGAAAAGCCCGTGGGTCGCCCCATGAAATACCCGTACACTTTCTCGGCAAAGATTGCCCAATTCCCCATCAAGCACTACATTAAGAATCAGTGGATCTGGCGCTACTACTTCATTGCGGCTATTGCCTGCGTGCCCGTTTTCTACAAGATCAGCCGATTGGGTATGTTATGCTGCTCCTGCCGCCGAGCTTACACAAGCAAGTGCACGTTTGTAATAATTTTTCTTCCAACAGCCAACTCGCCCGGAAACAAGAAGGCATGGGCCGAGTCCCAGGCTAAGGAGGCTGCCGAACACCATTAAATGGCCCACAAGAGCGATGCTGCCATTAATTTAGTTTTAATATATGCATCTACATTTCAGAGCTGTTTTTGTTGGCTTTAACCTTGATCGGCGAATAAATGAGTTGACGGATAAATATTCTGTAAAAATGTTCATAATTGTGATTTTACAAATTTTGGTATTAAAATACCAGAGACAAACATTCGTATTTTCCAGGGATGCAGAAAACTATCGATAATAACCAACATATGGGATCGATTAATATATCGACGATTTTCCATCCATAGTAGGGTACCGGTTGTAAAAAAGAAACGCGGATTATTTTTTAGTTTTTATTTTATCTGTGTTTTAAATAAGTTAACCCTAAGGTGTCCCCACGCCTCATTGCTAAAATACATCCGTGGTGTCAATAGATATGCAGCTTCCCGCAAATTTCCATGCAAACTAAGCGTTTATCCCGCGCCACAACGTAAACACGTGAAGTACCACAACAAAAGGGAGGTGGAGGAGGCGCCATGGCCATGCCGGAGAACCTACAGTTCCCCGAGATCAACATTGATCACCTTCTGGGCCAGTGCGCTCAAGGGGGCACTTTCCTGACCCCGCAGTTTCGGCACTCTTCGATACCCAAGAGCAACACCAACGCCCAGTCCAAGCGTCGCCGTCTGTCCGAGCGGATTTGCGACAATGATGAGTTGATTCGGAAACTGAAGCAGCTGCAGGGCCACAATCAAAAACTGACCGATACGCAGCGGACAGCGAAGGAGGTGACCGATCTGTACACGAAAGAGAAGCAACAGAGGATTGAGCTGGAGAGGCAGTGCCAAGAACTCGGTGGCCGCTGCAACGAGCTGGAAATAAAACTGGATGCACAAGTCACCAACTGTGAGAATCTGGAGGAGGAGCTGAAGGTCAGGGCCCTGCCGATGGATGCCAAAGACCTGGTCGAGGCCTACATGCAACTCGCGCACAGAGTTGGCGACGATGCCGGGCTCCCGCGACGTGAACAGAATATAATGAAAAAAGTCAGAGACTACTGCAAGTCGGCAAAGATCGCAGTGCCAGAGCCGAAGAGTCCGAATACGAAAGCGAAGCGGAAAGGAAACCAATCAACGATGAAAACGCAATCCACGCAAACTTCGACCAAGCTGGCGACCAATACGTGTTCCATTGGGGTGCAAGTGGTGAATCTGGTAGAGACCCGCAATCAGGGGACGCAGCATAAGAACACCACAACCACAAGAGGCACCACCACGGCCTCCTTCATCAAGTACCGCGATGTGGGCACTTGCTTTCCGGAACCGAAGCCCCCGCCGAATGTGCGACAAATCCTAGATGAGATGCTATCCTGGCACAGCCACGATATCGCCAAGCCCCTCAGCCCCATAATGGATCCTTTGTTTGTGGTGGAGGAAGACATCCCCATCCACAAGACATCCACCACAGACGTGGGCACCTGCACCATGCTGTGCAATGTGCACCGAGAGATCGACTTCATGCCGGAGGTGCCGTCACAGCTGAAGGTCTCCACATCTCGGCCACCCTCGCGCACCATGCTCGAAAGTGTGAAGGATGAGACACTGACGGGGGGCGGCAACGTTCCGGCTGGCCACAACAAGGAGTTTGCCAGGGAGATTCTCAACTTTCTACCTCACAACCAAAGCTGCCTCGCTAACCTGCCGCCCCAGGCATTCGATGAGCTGTGGCAGGTTATTGGTCAAATGGTTCTCTGTCTGCTCCACAGGCGTTCGAACCCACCACAGTCACCGCCGCCCAGCATCAATCAAATGGACTTCACCAGCTGGCTCTATGCCCTTTACGAGGGCACACTGACCCATCCGGTGATTGAGAAGCAGCTTGGGCCCGAGCATGCATCCAGCGGAAGCAGCAAGAAAGGTCTCCATGCGATATTCCTTCGATTATTTGATGTAATTCAACGCGCTCTCTTTACAGATAACTACGAGTCGGACACAGATGGCCGGGGCATGGATGTTGGCACCGATCCCATGGACTTAATCGCCGAATCGCCCAACATCAGCATCAGAGGGGAGCTCACGCCGATCCATCTGCCACCGAAGCCACCAAAGCCACCGAAAGAACGAAAGCAAAAGTCTAGAAAACGCAAAGCAGCTTCGCTTCTGAAGCCCATCCCCAAGCGAAAGCCTGTGGAACTGCCCTCGCACGAAGCACCACTCCAAGTGGCCAATGAGTCAATGCAAGTGCACCAGGAAGTGGAGTGCCCAGCACCAGAGACGGCGATTCAATTCATAAGCAATCTAAACACCTTCAACATACCCTACTGTGATAATCTGGACTATGAATTGGATTCGGAGGAGCGGTATTTGCTTCACTTGACCACCAATGGCCCTGGCATACAAGGGACAGAGCCAAGAGGCGGCGAAACAGATGAGGATGTGCAACTTTCTAAAGGCAATTCTGATGAAGAAACTTCTCTGGAACAGCCGCAACCTGCGCAAGAGGAACTCAATGAGAATGTGGAACATGCTACGAGCGAAACAGATTCATGGCCAGTGGAATGCAATTCTCAAGTCTTCACTGACGAAGACACTTCTCCAGAACAGCTGCTGCCCATCCAAGAGGAACTAATTGAGAGTGAGGAAGATGCTACGAGCGAAAACCACTCATTGCCCGCGGAATGCAATTCACAATTCGTCACCGATGAAGAAACTTCTCTGGAACAGCAAACCAAACTCAGTGAGAATGAGGATGTTAGGGCGCCAGGGATATGTGGCAATAATATGCCATTTTTCCTAGATGACAAAGAGGACAGGGCAGAACCAGAACAAGCAGCAGATCCACCCAAACTATCAACGGCAGTGCACACGAATTTTAATTTGGAGCTGTTCGGCAGCGAGTCAGACTCGGAAGGTGGTGCTACGAGCGAGGAGCAGCTGCCTTCGGATTCGTTTGATTTCAGTTGTAGCACCAGTGAGGAATCGGAAGATGAGTCGCAACTAGTTATAGAGGAAGAAAGCTGCTCACCGACACCACAATCCCCGAAGGCACAATCCCCGAAGGCACAATCCCCGAAGTCACAATCCCCACTGCGATCGGCCTTTAGTCCGCTCAAAAGGAACGAACGAGCAAGCGAGTCGCCGCAAAAAGAAGTTCGTTTAACTCGATTGAGAGCCAAGCAGATCGAAATGGAACAGAATAGCCTGAAAGAGCAACTGGCAAAAGATATTGATACAAAAGGAGAGCAGACGCCAAAACAGGAAGATGAAAGGAGAGCAGAGAGAAAGGAGACGAAGGAAATGGAGCACAAGACATCTTCTTGCTATGACTTGGAGTCTCCAGCCTCACCCCCTTCCCAGGAGACGAACGATAGCGACAGTCCACCCATCGAGATCCCATTGGAGCTGTCAGGGTGCCCAAGGGGCGACGCGGAACCCAAGGCTATGCTTATGCATGTTCTGGAGGCCCCCAAGGGTAGAGTGAAGGGTCCTAAGCATCACAGCCAGACGCAGCTTGATATGCTGTGCTCCACAATAAAAAGATATCTCACGGACACCATGCAACTCGACTCCACATGCAGCGACTTCTCGTTGGAGGTCTTTAAGGTAACGCAGGATGTGGCTGTCATTGTCCATGTGATGTTAAAAACATTCTGCCAGATGACCTACGATTGGACGGAGCCCCAGCCAAACGACCCGCTGGATCGCCTGCTGAATGCCCTCAGATACTTTGAAGTGTTTAGAGGCCAGAGCCAACCCTCCTACACGCAGAGCTTCTTATGCGCGCTGGAGAAGCGTCTCTTCAGGCTGACCAAGGAAAGACTGCAGTGGGACTGGTCCATTACGTGCGTCAAACTCTACCTGCAGATGGTGCGACTGCAGCTAAGCCATTCGAATCCGGAGACCTACGAGAACCCGTCGCGCTTGCTGCTTGCAAAAATACTCTATCACTACGACAAGGAAGTGCCGCAGCTGGCGTACGAGGTGTTGTGCTGCCATCCCACGGTGCTGCCCCACCGCGAGGAGCGCGAGTACAACAACTCCGATCCCCTGATCACTGTGATCAAGCACCTGCTGATGAGTCGGAAGTACGACGTGGGTGAGCCCAATGGAAGTGGACGATTGCTGCTCTCCAAGCTTCGCTTCGAGTATCACTTCCAGCCCTTTGAGCCCACCAGCGAACAGGTGCTGGAGAACCTGGTGAGCAAGCTGAAAGTGGGCCACCTGGAGCAGCTGAGCTACGCCTTTGCCCTCTTCTGCCGTCGCAGCACGAGAGTGGATGTGCTGAACAATGTGCTCGCCCAGCACCTGGTGCCGCTCGCCTCCAGCTACTGTGATCTAAGTGCACACACCGATGCGTACGATGTCCGACTCGCGGGAATTCTGCAGTGTATATCGGTGGTTGTGAAGCCGCTGCCCATCGAGACCGATATCTCCGGCTATATGGGGCTGTTCAAGCGCCTGCTCGTGGCGGTGCCACGGCCCGGCGTTCAGGAGGCAGCCGTTCAGGCCATCTTGCGGCTGCAACGGTTCGGCTTTAAGCACGCCCTCGATGCCCTGCAGAACTACAGACCCAACTACCAGCTGTCGCCCCTGACACGCGCCATGATGCGCAGCTTTGTGCAGCGGCGGCGCGTCTTTCATTTCCAGATGAAGCATGCCCAGACCCAACCGCATGAGGCGGGGAAACGAGATTGATTCTTTTATATGAATTGCAACTATTTATTTATATTGTAATATATATTTTATGTATAGATTTTGGATTAAACTAAATGCCAACTGCAACTGCAATGAATCCTTGTCGCTGAATCGTTGCTCCTTACAATTTTCAACTTAAACTAAAATACAGCAATACGATTGCACTTAAGCGGGATGGGATGTGTAGCGAGACAGAAGAGAGACAAAGACAGAGAGAGGAGAGAGGGAAAATGTAATCCCAAATAGAAATGTACAATAGTGCATAGCATGCGAGGGGGTGGACACAAGTAGTTAGAGCTCAACAGAGAGGACTGTACAATAATAACATCGATAGTAACATATTTAGTTTGTATGTTTGGGGTAGGGAGGGTTCATGCGTGTCGCGGAAATGCTTGGAGTCGAGGAGAATCCATTGCCCTATATCATGCCTGTTCTGCCCAGTTTTCCGTTTAGGTGTAAGGTACTTGTTGTGATCTTGGGCTAACCATTCTGATTCTGATTAAATTTGTAGTCTAGAAGCGTGGCTGGGCATGGCTCCCACCAGCCGCCGTCGTGGAGAGCCATTAGTTCATGCTAGATCAGTTTATTCAGCTGCAAAGAAGCCAACACCACCAATGATTATTGAGCATGTAATATGTGGATGGAACAGGCGACGGGTCATACCAACGATCGACGCTGATGCTCCTTCTCCAGTGCCACCTGCGACTGCTGTGGCGAGAATTTCAGCACCGCCGATATCACCTTCACCAGAGTCTCGTTGTTCGTATTGCCGGTTAAGTACTGCCAATCAGGGAATACAACATGTTAGGCTGTGCTTTAATCATGCGACAGATCTGTGGACACTCACCTGGAACATAATGTTACGCAAATACTCAAACTCTGTGTTGGCCGGCACTGTGCTTTCGCTGCTGTGCTGCATGGATACCTGGAAATGGAAGCGAGAAATAAAATGAGTAATCCAGTGTCTAGCGATGGCTTCTTCTTCCATGCTTACCAGTGTTTCATCCAGTTGCCGCGAGAGTTTCGCATTCTGCAGCTTTAGACGCTCGTTGGACTGTTCGAGTATCAAGAAATTTTCACACTTTTGTTCAAGGAACAGGTTTCGATTCGTCACATCCTGAACCTCGTTCATGATCTCTTTCAATTTGGACTCCAGCACGGCCTTCTCGCTGGTGGCAGCAGCCTCCTGGACGTGCTTGGGGGCCATGCTGTTCAAAAGTTGCTGAGCCTGAATGCCCGCCCTCAGGGTCTCCAGTTCATTGATGCGCTCGGCCATCTGTTGGTTGTTCGCCTGCAGTTCCTCGATTTCCTGCTGCATATTCGACTCGGCTCCGTTGCTCTTGTGTTTCAGACCCTCCAATTCGCGCTGCAGCTGCTCGTTGAGGCTGCGCAGACTGTCCGGATCTGTGGCAACGGAAGCCACAGGCTGCTCCTTGAGGCTGGCCACCTCATTGTGGAGTTGCGCAATGGCCGCCTGTAGACTAATTTGTTCCTCCTGTGCCTTGGCCAACTCGCTTTGCCGCTCCTGCAGTTGCTGCTGTGCCTGAAGCAACTCTGTCTGGACAGCATCGCTCTGTTCGGTCACGAAACTGGCGTGCTCCCGCTGGCGGGTAAGTTCGAGTGCCTGTTCCTCTAGCGCCGTTCTCAGCTGGTCTGCTTCCGCCTTGGCTGTCGCACTTTGACCTTCCTTTTCGGTCACTTGAGTGGCGTGGTGCTCGACCTGCTCCTGGAGCACATAAAGCTCGCACTGCATGGACTTAAGTTTCTCCTTGAGCTCCGCATTGTCGGCCAACTCCTGCTCCAGCTGCTTCGTGTGCGTGTGGAGATACTCGTTTTCGACTTGAATCTCGTCATATTTGGCCAGCTTTTTGCTGGAATCCTCCGTGTGCTCCAGCTGCCGATCTCTCTGGGCTAGGATTTCCTGCATCTCCTCCAGCCGCTGACTCTGCTGATCCATCGCCAGTTGCAGGGCGTCATTGGCCTCGTGCAGCCGCTCAACATCCGCATTGGCTGCACTCCAGCGTGCCTCGAGAGTCTCCATTTGGTTGGCGTGGGACAAACTGGTTGCTTGCATCTTCTCCTGAACGCCCTGCTCTGTCGCCCTGAACGCATCGATCTGCTGGCGAAGGTTCTGTATGGTCCCCTGCAGCTGGGACTCGCTCTCCTGGTGGCTTGCCTCAAGTTCGGAGCAGCGTTCGGCCTGGTCTTTCACCTGCTGCTCTTGCTCGCGTTGGCGCTCTCGCAGCTCCAACAGATGCTGCTGCTGTTCGGCCAGATCTCGCTCCAGATTGGCCTTGACCTGCTGCAGTTCCTCGCTGGCCGCCTGAAGGCACTCCACGGCATCCTTGTTCAGCAGCGTCTCCTTCTCGTAGGCATCGCACTTGTCCTGCAGCGTACGGTGGTCGTGATCCATTAGCTCTTGGGCATTCTGCAGCTTCGAGTGTTCGTCCAGCACCTGCTGCATCTTCGCCTGAATCTTGGCAAGCTCCTCCTGTTTCGTCTTCTGTTCAAGTTCAAGCTGCTTTTCCAGGTGATTCGTCTGCTCCTCCAACAGACAGTTGCGCTCAGCCAGCTTGGTGTTTTCACTCTGAATTTCCTCCATCTGGGCCGAGGTGCGCTCGCCGTGCACACTGTTGCTCTGCTGCTCCCGCTGCAAAGCCTCGATTCGGGACTCCAACTTGCGGTTCTCGCCCTCCAGTTGGCCATGCGAGTCCTGCACTTGTTGCAAGTGCGTCTGCATGCTGGTGATTTCCTCCAGGATGGAGCTAACGCGTGTCTGCAGTTCCTCCTTCTCGCTCTCCACCTGCCTGGCGAGACTCTGGGCCTGCGCCATCTCTTTTTGGAGCTGCTCTACGCGGGCTGTTTGCTCGCTTGTCTTGGCCTGCTGTTGCTCGTGCTGCTTCTTCAGTTTGTTCATCTTATTGCCAGAGGCCTTCAGTTCCTTTTCCTTAGCCAGGAAACTCGCCCGACTGCCGGCCAGCTCCTGGTTGAGCGTTTCAAGCTGCGCTTTCAGTGCGGCAATCGTTTCACTCTCTGTGCTGGCATGCTGATCCTGAAGCATTTGGATTTCTCGTTGCAGCTGCTCCATTCGTAGCTTGTGCTGCTCTTCGAGGGATGTCTTTTCGCTGCTCAGTGCGGCCACAGACTCACGCTCGATCTCCAAGCTCTTTTCGAGCTCCAGTGTTTGCCGTTCGCGCTCCACCAGCTGCCCTTCAAGCGCAGCCACATTGTCCCTTGTCTGCTGCAGTTGACCCTCAAAGTCATTCTGCTGAGAGCGCTGAACAATTTCGAGCAACTGATCGTTATGCTGGCGCAGGTCCTGCAAGCTCTGCTCACTGTCTGTTCTGAGCGCGTGCACTTCCTTCTCCAATGTCGCCGCGTGCTCGTTTTTGGCTGATAATTCGGCCCGCAGCGAGACCAAAAGCTGTTCGGTGCTTAAGAGGTTAGCCTCTGCTTCCGCTCTGGACAATTGTAGTTCCTGTAGCTGTGCCTTAGCAGCGTTGCTTTCGGACTCACGATCCTTGTTCTCCTGTCGCAGATTTTTCAGGGTCTGATCGGTTTCTGCTTTGAGAGTTTCCAGTTGCTTTTCGAGGGTCTCCACCTGTTGCTCCTTTGCCGAGTGTTGCATCGTCAAGGATTTCAATGCCTCCTCTGTGTATGAGAGTTTTAGCTTCTGCCTCTTCGTTGGCCACCTGTAGCTTCTTCAGCTCCTCGGAGCCAACCTTTTCGATCTGCTGCCGCAATTCGTTCAGTTGTGTGTCGCTTTCCGCTTTAAGAGCAGCCAGTTGCTGTTCGAGTGTCACCACTTGCTCCTTCTTTGCCGTGTGTTGCATCGTCAAGGACTTCAATAGCTCCTCCTTGGACAAAAGCTGAGCTTCTGCCTTTTCCTTGGCCACTTGTAGCTTCTTCAGTTGTTCAGAGTCACGCTCCTCGCTCTGCTGCCGTAATTCATTCAATTTGGATTCACTTTCTGCTTTGAATTCTTCCAGTTGCTTCTCCAATGCGACCACCTGTTCCTCCTTTGCCGAGTGTTGCATCTTTAGGGTATTCAACAGCTCCTCCGTAGACAACAGTTTAGTTTCCGCAGTTTCTTTGGCCACCTGTAGTTTCTCAAGTTGCTCAGATCCTAGTTGTTCGCTCTGCTGTCGCAATTCGTGTAGTTTTGTTTCGTTTTCCGCTTTGAAAGACGCCAGCTGCTTCTCGAGGGCCAACACCTGTTGCTCCTTGGCGGAATGGTCGCCTTTGAGGGAGCTCAAAAGATGCTCTGTGGCAATGAGTTTTGCTTCAGCTTCCTGCTTTGCCTCCAGCAGCTTCTTCATCTGATCTTTGACGTCACTGGTCTGAGACTCGCGCTGGGAGTCGTATTGCTTCAGCTTCTCCTGCAGCTGCCCCACCTCGATGTCCTTGTGCTCCAGCTCCGTGTGAATGGCCTGTTTGGTCTGGGCCAAGAGCAAGACATTCTCCTCCTCCTGTTTTCGCAGAGCTTCGTATTTCTCCGTTATCTCCTGGAGCTGCACTTGCCGCTCCTCGAGCAACTGCTGCAGATGGGAAAAGTCCTCAGTCGAACTGCCATTCGCTGGGGGCTGGGACCTGACTGTCGATTCTTCCAAATCGATCAGCTTGTCGCTGTCCAGACCTTGACTGACCCGCTCGAGGGCAGCCGAAACGTTCTCCGGATTCTCGCCGAGCAACTTGAGCTTGGTCTGGTAAGCCTGCATCTTGCAGCTCATATCATCCATTTCGATCCGCAACGCCTCCTCCAGATGCGCCTTGGCCTGCTGTTCCAGTGTGCATTGCTCACGCAGTTCGCTGATCCTACGCAGCGCTTTGTCTTGTGTCTCCACCAGCACCGACTGCAAAGTCGGAAAATTTTATCGGCAGCATAAATAAAACGCTTATCAGTGACAAAGATAAGATGATTGATAGATACCCTTGCCTTGGTGCTGTCACGCTCCAGTTCCTTGTACTTTTTGGCCAGATCCGTGTAGCGGCAGCGATACTTGTGGTACCGATCGAGGGACTTCTTGTACGCATCGTACAGCTGATCCTTGGTGATCACATCCAGGCGAGCCGTCGAGGCTGAGTCATCAAACTCGCTGCTCGTCTCATCCAGATCCGATTGCAAGTGATAGACCTAAAGTAATCCATTTAATTCATAGTCGGGTACTTGTTCCATCGATATTTACGGCTGGAGCATCGTAGGAGGGCAGGCGGAAGGACACATCGCTGGCCAAGGATGAGTTGGACAGCTTGCGGCTCCTCGGTATGGCACCGCCGCCCAATCCATTCAGGGATTGTGTGGACGAGCGTCCCCTCAGCGAAGAAGCGCTCGTCGTTGGCAGCTTTTGTATGCGGTACGGCGAGTTCTGAGGCGTATCTGTGTGCATGGAGAATGGAAAATGGGGCTGATAAGAAACTTAAACATAGTTGACAGAACGAAGAGAAAGCTCACCCTCCTCCGTGATGCTGAAAAAGTTCTCATTGGTGCCGCTGCTGGTGTTGGTGTCCGAGCTGTTGGGTGTTGTGCCCGTCGATGAGCTCACGGCCGCCTGCAAGAGTCATTAGGCGTGTGAGTGGTGAGTGAGTGTTAGTGCATGGTTTTCCTGGGTGGCTAGGCCAGCAGAAGCAGCTGGCCATAATGTCTATTATCGTGAAAATGGGTCAAAAATGCATTTTCATGCAGCTCCACTCGCTCTATCTCACACACGCACACACACCAAGATTGCTTTGGTGTGCGTATGTTTTCATCAATTTGCATTTTTGACCCCCCTTCACAACCCTTTGCAAACACCTGGACGTACGGTACCGTACCTGTGCAGCAGTCGCAAATTGTTGGAATTTGGACGGTGACGCTTTCACCTCTTCGATTAGCTTGTTCTTCAGATTGGCAAACATGATGACCCACTTGCTGCACTACTTTTTCGCGGCCTGCACTACCTGGTTTAATCACAATTTAATTTTTAATTAAAAAACATCTTAAATAAATACGTGTCCCGCGCAGTGTGACCGTCAAACCATCAGAAATATACCAAAATATACTATTTCATTGATAGTTTCATTATTTCATTGATACCGATAACTGCGTTTCATTATTTCATTGATAATTTCATTTTTTTTCTTTGATACCGATAACTGCGTTTCATTATTTCATTGATAATTTCATTTTTTTTTCTTTGATACCGATAACTTCATTTTTTTCTTTGATACCGATAACTCTGTACCTCGATATGTAGAGCGGAATGTAGATAGCATGTAAAATTACAGTTGCCAGATATTTTCTGCCCGCCCACGTTCAATTCAAATTTCAAATATAAATATGCACCAAAACTATAAAGAGAAAGACAAAGTTCCAAACAAATTCCTTGGTGATATCTGGTACGGTAAATATGAAGCAGCGTTTCTCAAACTTCAATCTCACCTGCCCGATTTTGGGCTCTTCGGAGCTTTGTCCCATCATTTTAGTCCAGCTTCAAACAACAATAGACTGCTAAATGTTTATAGCGAGATTTTTACGCATTTAACAAAACTGAATGAAAGCTGAGCCAGTTTGCTAATTAATGAATGAATCGATTTTTTTTTAATAAGCCGCAGAGTGTGTTTTGGCGGAATTGGAATTTAAAATTATGGAAATGCGGCATCCTAAACACTCTGTAGTTGCTTGGAGCTGGTTCGAACTATTTAAAATAATATTTTTTGTGGTCTACAAATTCAATAAGAAACCAGAGATGCCCATTCTGAAGAGGGCATAGGAGGCGTAGTAGTATGAAAAAACCCAGAACCAGTTGTAGCACGAGTTGACTATTCTGTAGCTGCGGGTGGGCAGGGCATCGTAGTAAGATTTATTTTCAATTAAAGCCTTTAAAAAATCTGTGTTTTATTCATGTAGATTTTACAAAAGTTTAACAATTTTTGAGTGTATAAACTGCGCACTGATCGGATAGGATGGGACAAATACAATTGAGTGAAATGCATTTAAGTAAATGTCTCGAGTTATCACGCTTCTGTGTGATGTGAGAGCTTTCTGCGGGGCACCGCTCACTTGTGCAGGTTATCGAGGAAGTTCTTGTGGCGCTGAATGGCCTCCTCGTGCTCCTTGATCTGCTGATGGTGGAACTCGGCCTGGTGGATCTGGTCGTTCTTCAATTTCTCCAACTGGCCCCTTTGCTGCAATGCAATTCAAACAGAAACAGGCATAACAAATGATTAGAATATGTGTATCTTATTGATTTAGTAAGTCGTAAAAAAAACTAATTACGGGTTAGCTAAGACCACCGCTCCGCCCCCCCACGGAGCCGCTCATCAATTATTGACAATGCCACCGCCTGTCATTATTAGCCACCTTCCTACCCCCATCCCCACTTTGGTCGCAATATAAGAGGCTTTGACTTCGGCCGCTCCACAGCGTCCACAATTCCCCGCTTTGTCAAAGTCACGAGCAAATATTTGGTAGAACAAACTTTTAGCACGTCAGGCTAATGCAAATTATGCTTGGGGGACATACTACACACTAGAGAGGAGTTCGAAGCAAAGCAAAGTTTGGCTGTAAGTGCGTGAGCTTGGGATAAACCATCTGCCGGGTTTAAGAACCTGAATCAGTTCGACATCAGCCAGGCGGCGGGTGTGTATCTGTGCTATAGGTGTGTAGTGTCTGTTCTGCGCCCGCTCATCTGCCGAGCAAGTTTCCAGTTTATAGTTGGCCGCACGACAGTCAACTGGCATTGTGACGCGAAGAGCGACAGGCAACGATCGTGAAAAGTTGGCAAAGAAAGTGTTCGCGCTAAAGATTGGGGTCAGTGTATAATATTATTGCGCATTTCAGGCCGCATCTGGCCAAATATTAAACACAATAAAATTTCGTTTTCTGTGGAACTCAAACAAGACTAATTGAGAGTCTACAACAACAGAAACTAGACAAAGCAAAGCTCTCCGTTTCGGTTCTCCCCAGCACTTATCAGGCTCCAAAAATATTCAAAGTCAACCCAAAGTTGATAAGAGGCCCCTCAGTAGACGGACCACAGCATTTAGCCCATAGCCGAGCTACAGAATGGAGCATCTGCGGCTCTTGCTGATCGCCCTCTCGCTGACCCTGGCCCATTCGGCCTACAACAGCCAACAGTCCAGTGGACGGCCCCCACGCCAACCGAGTCCAGTGCGCACTGTGGAGTCGCTTGTACAATGGCAGCAGCTGGAGTACGGCTTCCCCACTGCCCAGGATCGCCAGAACGCGCAGACAGCTGGGAATCTGGTGCCGGAGAACGGAACGCCCATCGATGTGCAGGCGCAGCATTTGGCCAATGGCATGGTGCGGGTGTTCACAACGATTCCCAGATTCGCCACCGGCATTCCCTACACACTGGCCACCGTCTCCGAGCAGGTGGGACGGAATGGACCGCTGCTGCAGCCCTATCCCAGCTACTCCTGGCACAACGGCCACGGCGAGAACTGTGACCTGATTACCTCCGCCTTCCGAGTGGCTGTAAGTAGTTAATACTGCGATCATACTTCCCCTCTACATCCCCTCTCCCCGCCAGGTCACTGAGTGCAATCAGATGTGGGTGATCGACTCGGGCGTGATTGGAAGCGAGCAGCTGTGCCCACCGCAGCTGCTGCAGTTCGACCTGAACACCGATCGCCTGCTGCATCGCTACCGATTCCCCAACGACACCTACATTCACAGGGCCTCGCTCTTCATCACGCCGAGTGTCCTGGTGCAGGATCCGCCGCCACGCGGCACCTGCAGCCGCACCATGATCTACATTGCAGATGTCAACTACCACGGACTGGTCGTGTACGACCAACAGACGGATACTTCCTGGCGTGCAGAGAACCGCTTCATGTACCCCGATCCGGACTACGGCCACCACACGATTGCCGGCGAGAGCTTCGACCTGATGGATGGTGTGTTCGCGCTGAACAATGACAAGCGCAATCTCTACTTCCATCCGCTGGCCAGCGTTGGGGAGTACGCCGTGCCCCTGAGTGTGCTCAACCGAAGGGAGAACTGGGAGAACGGAGTGGAGGCCATGGCCGATAAGTTCAAGCTGCTGGGCAGGCGCAAGAGCGAGTGCGCCGCCTCGGCCATCGACAGCATGAACAATCTCTACTGCGTCACCTTCAATCCCATCAAACTGTTTGTGTGGAGCGTCAACACCCCCTACGGCACCAAGAACTTTGGCGCCCTGCCAGCCAAGTCTGAGGATCTGCAGTTCGTCAGCGGCATGAAGGTGGTTCGCAATCCGGCGGGCTACGAGGAGCTCTGGCTGCTCTCCAATCGCTTCCAGGTAAGTGGGATACAACATGGCTAACTCTTAAGGATTAACTAAAGTGAAAATTGATGTGTTGCAGAAAATATCTGCGGGAACCCTCAACTCCAACGAAGTGAACTTCCGCATTTTGCGACGCAGACTGGATGACGTCCAGGGCGGCGTGTTCTTTGCCAACGACGATGAGCTCTCCAACCGATTGGTGTTTAAACCATAAGCGGCATATGCGTGGCTAATATAGTCCACTATACATACATACATATATTATTTAATACGTGCCTTGGTTGCGTCGAAATAACTATAATTAGAACCAAGTGAACCAGAAATTAAGAAGAAACACTTTTCGGATTAAAATCGAAAATGCGACGGGTTGCATAGAGAAAGATTCGAAGCCTCTGTTTGATTTGTATAAATGTTAAAGCTATGGGAAGTAGTATTAGTAGCGAAATTCTAGACCGAATAATCTACCCTCGCCGCATCATCTCTACATATCCACACAAATTAGGATAGGATGGGTCAGCTTATTTCAAGCCACAGGCCCTAATAATTCGACTCATGTTCAGACGACTCCACTGTTTACGTACACGCAGCATTCCATTACGAATCTCTTGCGGCATAACAATTGTCGCAAAGTTCAGGTTCGTGGTTATCGCCAGATGATTATGCAAGGCCCACTGTGGTTTGAGCAGCGGCGTAGTCTCACCAAGATTGAAAAAGGGTATGAATTTTCTTGGGCATAGTCGTTCCAGATTCCAGTGCGATTTGTCTGCTGACAAACCCGAAACTGGATTGTAAATCGAACTGAATAATAAATGGACAATTGATAACACTTAATGGGCCAATGAACCGATCGGACGTCATGGCGCATGGCTGTGGCAGCCAAAAAGGGGTGGCGTGTGTAATTAGCCAGCACTAGGAACTCGTTTTCGAAATTGGGCACAAATAAAAAGCAGCAAGAGCGACAGTCAACGAGAATTTCAATGCACAATGTTTGTGTGCAATTAAACCAGTTGCAAAAGCTGAACCGACTTGCCTGCTGCTGCCAGAGGCTGAGCCTGAGACGGATTAGAAAGACATGCGCCAGTCGGTGGCGACGCATGCGCAGTCTCCGTTTGGACTTTAAGTGGAGCACACCACACCACATCCAGCGAAAGTGAAAGGATTACAGCATGGCACTGCATTTGATTACTTTGGGCGTCTGCATCTGGTTCCTGCTGGCTGCATCCGCACAGCATGTGCAGAGGCAGGCCTTGGACAATGTGTTTCAGGCCTACAACCTGGAGCTGGCGTTTCCCTCGCAGCTCGAGCGGGAGCGAGTGCTGCGTGAAGGTCTCTACGATCCCGCCAATGTGATTCCCATCGATGTGGACGTGTACTATAAACGTAAGACTGCAGGCTAACTGCCCCAAAATCAGACAGGCGACAGCTCAGACTGTATCCCCTTTGTGCAGATGGCGATCCAACGCCCTCAATCTTTGTGACCATCCCGCGCTTTGGCAAGGGCGTGCCCTATTCCCTGGCCTATGTAACCAACGAGCTGACACCGAATGGAACCCTGCTGCAGCCATATCCAAGCTACGAGTGGCACAAGACGCATGGCGCCGATTGTAACGGCCTGACTTCCGTCTACAGGACTCAGATTGATGACTGCGGACGGCTGTGGATCCTGGACAGCGGCGAGATCGACTTCGTTCAGCTGTGTGCCCCCCAGTTGTATGCCATTGATCTGGAGAGCGGCAAAGTGGTGCATCAGTACCGCATGCCGAAGCGCCTCTACAAGGAGGGCGTTAGTCGCTTCGTCACGCCCACCATTGAGCTGGATTCGCACAATTGCGATGTGGGATTTGTGTACATGGCGGACTCCATCGGGGACGGCATTGTGGTGTACGATGTGGCCGCCCAGCAGTCGTGGCGCATCGAGAACAAGTACACCTATCCGCATCCCGATTTCGGAACCTTTACCATTGCGAAAGAGAGCTTCCAGCTGTGGGATGGAACTGTGTCGACCACTCTGACGCCCCATGCCCTGGGCGTGAAGCGAATGTTGTACTTCCACTCCCTGTCCAGTGACTGGCAGATGGCCATACCCCTGGACGTGGTCAACAATGGCAGCAACTGGAAGCTGAACGACGTGAGCGCCGCCCTGGATCAGTTTGTGGTGCTGGGGAAGCGGGGCAGTCAGTGCGTGGCTGCTGCCATGAGCGAGACGGGAATGCTGCTCTGTGGCCTGGTCAAGCCAGCCAGCATTCTGGCCTGGAACACCCAAACACCCTACACGCATCAGAATCTGGTCATGCTCATCGAGGATGAGGAGCGACTCCAGTTCACGAGCGGCCTCAAGATCGTGCGGAATCACGAGGGAAAAGAGGAGCTGTGGGCCCTATCGAATCGCTTGCAGAAAGCGTTTGGGGCCGGACTCAACTTCAAGGAGATCAACTTTCGCATACAGAAATGCGGAGTTCAAGAGCTGCTCAGTGGCGGGCCGTGCTACTGATTGGGATTGTCGTTAGTTGGTCTTGCTACTAAATAAAACTGATAAGAATTTGATTGTGTGTCTCGTTCCACTCACCTTCTTGTAGAAGTACTCCTCCTCGCGGGCGGCCTCCAACTTGCCAAAGGCGCCGCCAGCCTCGCGGATGGAGCCACCGCCGCCACCGCCCTTGCCGGCACCACTGCCCAGATCACCCAGCTGGCTACTCATCTTGGCCACCCTGCAAGATAATCAAATGTCGAATTCATTTAATTGTTACGCAACAAATGAAGTCAGCGCACACACACAAACACACACACAGCAAACACAAGAGGGGCAAGCCGGCCGGGAATGCTGCTGCGGGTCAAACGTAAAGCCATTTGAATCGAAAATTGTTTATCTTATCGCATATTGACGGAAAGCAGCCACTCGGAGCATACATAACAATTGGTTGGGAAAGAGAATATCCACCCAGAACATGTATATTAATGTTTTTATGTCAGCTAGCAGCTAATTAGCCGGTTAGCAACAATTAAATACTCACTGGAGTCCGGCGGGGTACAGGCGGGAAACGCTACGACGTACGACGAACATTCTTAGTTTTTATTGGACGATCTGAAAAGAATAACCAAATTATTAGTAAGCGCGATGACTTGCAGGTAACTATAAAGCGGCCGCCGCCATTGAAATTGGAGTGCATTCAACTTTGCCATACGAAAAATTGCACAAAGACAAAGACTAAAAATAGCGAGTCTTTGTTTTGTTTTTTTTTTTTTGCACAAAAAATATAATGCATATAAGATATAATATAATATATAATATAATATAATATTTCACAAGCAAATTGCGTTCTTTACAAATGTAATTGGTTGCAAACTGCGCCACAAATTTCTTACTTGATTTTTCAGCTGATAAAAATTACACTGACACTTTTTAAAACTTTGAAATGGAGCCAGGGCAGAAAAACCAGGCAATCCGGCGATCCAGCCCACTTAACCCACTAAGCACCCCTCTATTAAAAAAGTTGAGCACCCTATGTTAAACCGCGGAAAGATTACTGTTTGTAACGGCTCCATGTAGCTTCATCCTCCTCTTTACTTACAAAACAGAAATGACCAGCGACATCTTTCACCTGTAATGCGTAAAATATGTTAAAGTTACATGAATTTCGTGGAAATATTAAATACCCCCCTGGTCGACAATGGGTTAACGTTCTATTTTATTGATTGAAATCGTATTCCATAATTTTTATATTCAGCTTAATATTACTAGATAGTTGGCCCTCTCAGCCCTAGACAAATAATTTTATCCAATTTATCAATAGATTTTGTACAAGATTGGCAGGTTTTCAGAAGTTCTTTTTATTGGATTGTTTACATAAAAAGGTTCAAGAAAAAACGGCCAAAGCATAAAACGTAAATGTTGACTAAATGTGACGTCAGTGTTGCTGGTCAACCAAGTTTCTTCTATGCGTATGTACTTTTGTATACCTTATTTCTTTTAATTGATGATAAATGTTTTGTTCCAAGCTCCATTGAAACATTACTTATGATTTTATCCTAGATTGACATGTTTCTTACCTCTTAATGCATATGTTTGTGCTTTATATTTACATTTATCCCGGTTCTACCTATTATTGGAACCCGTGAGCTGCAAAATTTCGTTAATAGAGTAGTTTCTGTATTAATTGGTGCCTGAAATTACAAACAATATCTCAAGTCCATAATATCCATTTTCCCAAGGTATGCAGATTGTTGCTCATTCCGTGCCAAAGTTGCAGAACAAATTCATTTCCCCATGTTGCTGAAATGTTTCCATACAAATCAAATGTTCTTAACGGGAACGCGTATGGAATGACGCAACAATGAATCTTCATTCCATATGCGTTCCCGTTAACAACATGTTTCTCACACCACGAAAAGTCATCACGAAAATGCTCTCTTCACCTCTGAAAAGAGAGCAAATTTTGAAACGCTCTCCGGACTCATTTCCGCCGCAAGGATAAGGGTATGAGGGTGACGTATGACGTCACAAAATCCAGAGCTTTCAAGAAAAAAAAAACACACCTCACCACATAACTCACCGTGCATGATTTTGTGATTTTTATCGCTGTCACTGATAAATTTATGTCGCATTCAGAAATATACCGTAATATACCAAAAAAATGTATGAAATATACCATAAAAGCACATGAAAGCTGCCGACACGATATATATTTGTATGCTAAAAGGTGATATTTTTGTGCGATTAGCGTTATAATTTAAAAATAACGTAATTTGAAAAAATCAATCACAGCATTGGTTCAAAGATACACTTTTTCGGCATAAATCCGTGGAGGTCTGGAAATGTATAGATTCGATTTTTCAATCGTTTAAGCAATAGATTTTACTTCTTCGGACCTCACGTGTGTCGTAGCCCTCAGATAAGTCAACTAATCTTTATAGTTGCTATAGAAATTGTTTATGACCATCAAGGGGAAACAGGGGCTGTATTCGAATCAGTATACTTTGAACAGTCGCGAAGAGAAAAACACCCAATAAATATGTGGAAGAAATTAATTTTTTCTGTGGTACTTGTGGCCTTTGTGGGCGTGCAAATCGGTGAGAAAATTGAGGCACTGAGTATGAACCTGTTGCTGACGTAATCAACTCCAACATTAGCCAGCTCGCTGACCTGCTACAGCTGTAATGATGCCACCTCCTGCAGGAACCCCACGGTCCAGACCTGCACCAACGCCACGGCCAATGCGAGCAGCCTCTGGCTGTCGACGTACCACAACGATGTGCCCGAAGTGGGTGGCAGCCAGAGCTTCTTGTGTGCCAATCTCACCTACTACACAGGCCCCCAAATCCCTGCCACAACACCTTATGGCCCAAACAACACTCGCACGAGTGAGTTCCTGGGCTGTGCCCATCCGGATATCAGGATCTGTGCTCGTACTCTGACCGATCCGGATGCCAGGGCCAACTGGAACTCGCACTGCGGCGTCTGCTATCTCGACAACTGCAATTCCCATGGACCTGCAGGAACCTTCAGTGGCAGTGCGTACACCATGATTGGTTCTATTGCTGTGTTGCTAGTGGCCAAGGTTCTCAGTTAAGCTGTAGAAAAGTGCTTAAACGCTTCGTGGAAATGTATTCGATGAACTTCGATTCCCCGAAATATCAAAAAATGCACTCAAAATATTGTAAATTGAATCACATTTATTATGGGAGAGATGATTATTAATAAAATCGACAATGACTCAAGTTTGAGACTATGAATCAACATCATTCAAAACAATCCCACCCAAAACATTGCCCGATCATGCGCTATCAATTCTGAGAATTTGATTGTTTTATTGCTTTAGCAAAAGGCAATCGTGGGGGTCTATGGTTGTAGAAGCTTTCCAGCTGTTACTAAGGTATGGAGTTGTGGGGTAGGTTCAAAATTTAGATAAGTTAACGATTAGATAAGGAGAAATATAGAGAACGTAGTAGTACCGTACCGTACACAAAAAAAATTGTGTGTGGTCACACTGGCTTTCTTTAGAACTCCAACAGTCTGGCAGCACCTGTGTGCGCGGCAAATTCGAACTTAAAAGGCTTATAATGTTTTTCGACGCTATATTGCTGTATTGCTATACCTTTTCCCGGCTACTAATCAGTTGCTCTGTGCAAAACGACTCCCATGTTGCAATATTTGCAACTCTCTTCTTCGCGGTAATTTTTCTCTAGTCCAATTTCGTTTGCACCTGCAGCGCTTGATTAAATTTGCCACCTCCAAATGCAAAGAAAAAGGAATCATCAAATATGCATGCAACTAGTGAGAGGGAAGTGGGAGAGGCAAAACTAAACCAGAAATCATAAAGAGCGACACGTGCCCTAGGCAGGATGCCAACCGCAAACGCTGCCGCCGCCAAACCATGTCCACCTTTTAGTTGAGTTTCCTAAGGCATAAATTATGCGCGATTTCAGCAGCGGCGGTGTTGCCCCGTAAAATTTGGCACCTGGCCCCAAACCGTGGGTCTAACCTTCGTACCGTGGGGCGCGTGTAACAATTTTACAGCTCCTTCCCCTCCCCAACCACCCCATGGACAACCAGCTGACGATTGGTGTAATGAAAGTGTTGGAGCTGCTCTATATAGCCAGCATAGAGTCGTGTATTTGTGTAAACAGCTTGTACTATGACAGAGCGTGGCAGGCTTCGGGCTCGGGTTCTGGCTGTAATTGAAATTGCGCGGCGTACGCGGCATTAAGTCATAAAAACAACAACTATAGGCCCACTATATAGCGACGGGCTACACACCGCATACACTATGCTACCCAGCAACCAGTTTGTCACACTCTGAGGCCAGGCACGTACGCGCCAAGAGGTCAAAACGCACTCTGGACATGAAACGGGGGAGGGATGGATATGGAATGGGATGGCCAATTGTGAAACTTGTCCGTTTCTGTCCATCATCATCATCATCGTCGTGGTTGTCATCTTCCGCGGCCCAAAACTGTGTGGGTCATAAAAGAAGTCACAAGCAGCGTACTTAGAACAAGTCCAAACACAGACACTGAAACCGAACCACACCACAATTCCTGTTCAGGCCACAAAAATTTAATTAAGGTCTGTGTCTCAGTCTGAGGCTTCTGGGGAAACGTTTACTCCGGCGATACATGGGGGACAGGCAGCATCTGATTATGTAATGCTTATAAAAAGAACAGGCAACCGATCTATATAGGGAGCATTGACACTTTTCTCTTCATTTCTTGCAGTTTCTTGCAGTAAGAGGTGAAGTAACATTTAAAGCTTCCATTTGCTTTAATTTGTTGGATCTTTTGGTTTCTGTGGATTAATTGTAATGAATTTTTAGCGTTTTAAACTGTTATGCAATCTCCTTGTGACTTCTGTCCGCCCACGCAATCGCCTGAAAAGAGTCGCACAGACTGGGGTACATCCTTTGGCACATCCTTTCCCAGCGGCTCCTTTTCGCTGTCTATCTGTCCGTCTGTCGCTCTCCTCTTCGTCTGGCTCCCTCTCGAAATTTGATCTTTTTGCCGTGATAAGAAATTGAGGGAGCAGAAACACTCACAAGGAAATGCTTGGGTCGGGCAATTGCTATGCCGAAGGTCCTTTGTCTTTGAGGACCTTTTATGTCTTATCAAGGCGAGCAAACTTGGGACTCTCTACGGATACTGGCTCCTGGTAATACAATACTTTTGCTCACCGAATGTGTGCTCGGCAGGAGTACAGGATTACCACAATCCACAGCTCCTTTTTAATTTAATTCGCGAGAATTTAAGGCGGAGGTGCCATGCGGTGCTGCTCCCGCTCCTGCTGCTGCTGCTGCTGCTCCTGGCGTATTCCGATCTGGCCTGGCTCCGCCCTCCCATTATTGTGTCAGCAACTTTATAAATTGCGCATAGAAAACAAACCGCCCGCAAATACCGCCGAAGAAAGAACCCAAGACATCCTTTGTCCTGCGTGATTGCTGTTTATATTTGGTGCTGCCTGCCCCTGAATGGCAATCAATCAATCAATCAAACCAGATATCGATATCGATATCCATTTACATAACGCAAATAGCAGCGGCACGTTCACCACGTTCTAATAAAGGGGGGTGACATGGATATATCTATTACTACATTAATAGAGTGAGCATGCCACGGGTGAAAGGAAGCGAACTCTTGAGAAGGTTTGATGCTGAGGGTGTTGAAGAGGGAAAATTGCAATTTAGCACAGCAGCACATAATTTTCTGCACTCTGGAAATTAACTTTGCCATCGGCTTTGAGTGCTTTCTCTTTTGATATTCATTTTAGACTTTTCTTCAGCCACAAAAGCACTCGCCAATAGCTGCTAGCAGACATGTAAATACATTTAGGTGTGCCGTCCCACCCATGCCACGCCCCAGACGACTCGACTCCCTGTGCAGCATGTATCCGGCTTGTACATAAACACCTACAGGCACACACACACACCAGCCACCAGCCACCAGCCAATGGGAAAGGCCTTTCGCTCGCACATGTGAATCCGAGAGATTATTATGTATCCGTAATTGTATCTGTATCTGTATCTGCAACTGTTTTCGGTTTCGGTTTCGGTTTTGGGCTGTCGTCGGCACCTCAGCTCGTGCCTCTGCCTCTGTCTCTGTCTCTGCCTCGTGCCCAAGGAGGATACAAAAATTAACCAAACTAAAGAAAAATTGTATAATAATTGCATAATTAAGTTCAAAGTGGAATGGAAAGGGAGCGTTAGAGGGGGAGGGGTGGATAGATATGTTTAGTTTTAATTTGTGTCAATTGTTGGTCCGATAAACATCGCGCGTGTCGAGTGTCCCCCAGTGTCGAGGGATTATTAATTGAATTAGCGCCTCGACGGCAGCCACTGAAGAGGATACTCTCTGTGTGGATCTTTCCCTCTCGCTGAACTGATCTGCTAATTAGTAGATGCCCCAGCCACAGCCACAGCCACAGCCACAGCCACAGTGGCCACTGTAATGCTGCAATTGCAGACAGGAAGTTGACAGCTAATTGACAACCACGAACGAAGACGAAACCAAACCCGAACCCTCTTCTCGAGGCGATCCATTAAGCCGTGAACGATGTTTCTTTCCTATTAGACTAAACCCAAATCATGATTTGCATATGACAGAACCATCAATTGGGGGAATATCTAAAAAGAGAGAGAGAGAGAGAGAGGGGGAATGGGAGATGGGAGATGGTAAGAGTATCGTCGTAAAGAGCTTAAGGAGCTTCCTGTCAAGAAATTCGCACGGTATTATTGACAAACGGATATGGGATATGGCGCTTTTAGAGTCATTTTCCCAGGCATTAACCATCCTCCAGCCACACATCATCAAGGACCATCAACACGAACATCCTTGCACATCCTTACGAGTCCTTATTCCCATCTACATCCATCTACATCCACATCCACATCACTCCCCCAATCGGTAAATCACGCTAATAAGCCGGTAATGAATATAATGTATGTAAGTGTAACCCTCGCCCTCACCCTCACCCTCGAAGGCTTCCCTTTTTGCAAAAATCGCATGTTTGGCCCACATTCCGTGCTATCCTTTCCCGCCCCTCACCAACACTCTGGCCGGAAGAGGAAGCATTTGCCGAGCACAAGGGGGTTGCAAACGGAACAATTTTTCACTTTTGTTTTTGTTTAATAAGGCATGCGAAAATATTTCACTGCCATCACTTACCCCCCCGCATGAGCAGGTCCTGCCATTGTCAAGGACCTCAGCACAGTTCTCCTTTGGCATTCTGGTTCGGGCCCCCCCCTCCCATTATTCCCAGCAATCCACGCTGATCATCATTTGTATCCATTTGCAGCTTGGTTTTGGGTGTTTTATCCCGTCCCAGTCCCCGTCCCAGTCCCAGACCCCACAGCTGAAGTTCCACTCTGTCTCCCTGTACGTCTGTCCGTCTGGTCGGTCCGTATGTCTGTCTCTCAGTTCCTTCTCTGACTGATGGGAGCTTCTTCATTTGTCAATGTAACGCTGTCTTGGCTCAAAAATGCTTTTCTCGCATGCCAGCCCCTAGTTGGAGCTGGACACACGAACCCAACACTTGGCAACACAGGGTAGAGCTTGGGGGGGGAACGGTTGGACAAAGGCGGGATGGATGGATCGATGTGGCTATACAGTGGGGATGTGTGGCTTTCAGGTTGTCTGTTGGACATTCAAGTCGCCTTGCCAGTCAGTCAGTCAGTTAGTTAGTTAGTCAGTCAGTCAGTCAGTCACTCGGCAGACTTTCAAACGCCGCACAGTGCTGCAAAATAATGTCAGTGAAAGATGAAGCACAATTGAATGGAAACCAATGGAAGCATTTTAAATACATGGAGAATGGGAATATATGGAGTGTATGTTTTGTCCATTAAATATGTATATGTATTGTAGATAGAATTAATAAATAAAGTACCCCTGTAATGGGCTCAAAATTTCGTTCTAATTTATTTCCCTCTATTGAGTAAAATACTCAGATGCCTGCCCCAGCTATCACTCAATATTTGAACCTGTGAAAACCATCATCTTTCGACCCACTGTGTTGCCCCTTTTGATGGAAGCGTGTAAAAACCCGTCAAATGCCTAAAATACCAAAAATAAAGCGATGCGAATCGAAGCGATCCGCGTGGACTTGATACGAGTACGGGAGAAGTACGTTGGAGGTTTTGATTTAAAGAGCCATCGACATTGGCATCGGCATCGGCATCGACATCGCCATCTCCATCAGCATTCAGCCTTCGACATATTGGTGACGCTAAAGCGGCAGAAAGACAAGTAAAAAGGAGTTCGCAGAAGCCACCAGAGAGAAGAGAGAGAGACAGAGAGAGACAGAGTGGGGCTGGGGTATCGAGCGGATGACGCGCCTGGCGGTCTGGCTTGGAGCTTGCATTGCATCCAGTGGAGCGTGCAGCCTGGAGTCCGAGTGGTGTGGCAGGGGGGGGGGCCAAAACGATCAATGAAGTCTCCTCGACAGTCTTTCGATTGCATTCGCCCCGTTCGATGCCAATTCCGATTGCCAATGGCCCAACGAGTTTTTCCATTTGCTGTGTGTATGTGTGTGTGTCGCTGCTTTGCTGTTTTTCCACCGGACACCTTGGCATGTGTGGCATGGCGCTAATTAACAACTGCCGGTGCTTTGTGTCCACTTGCAGCGCGGAGTGCCGCACAGGAGAGTTGTACTGCAACTGGAATTGGAGCTGGAGCTGCAGCTAGAGTTAGAGTTGGACCAATTGTTTCGATGATAAACATTTTTATTGATTTGTGATGATTGCCGACAGGGACAGGACAGGTGCAGGCCGCTCTAGCCGCTCTAGCAGAGCGGTGCGGTGCCTTTTGCCGCTGCAATTTATTAAATGCGATTTATTTGCAATTGCTTCCGAGAAGCAGGAGGTGCTGTAGATTAGACAACGACCGACAAGAGTCACCACTGCACCACTGCCAACTGCAACTCCAACTCCAAATCCGAGTCGGATCGGATCGGATGGGGCAGGCATTTTGCTGCATTTCATTCCAAGAAACAGAAGCGTTGTCGCCTTGGTAATCTGTTGGCGGGTATAATTGCCACCGGTCTTGAAGATACAGATAGAGATCACCCAACTGAGATGCCAATTTGTTGTGGCCCCTGCCCCCTCGACCCTCCCCCATCCCACGGCAGTGCCTTATGCGAAACTCCATAAACTCCGAACGGGCATTCGTCGCGGTTGCGCCTGTTGCGCACCTTTTTTATTGCCATTACGTGTCGCGCTTGCCGAAATAAACCAGAAACGAAATATTCGCCATAAAATTTTTGGACTTGGAGAAGCCCTCGAGGCGGAGCAGAGAGACCTCGCCTTGTCTCGTCTCGTCTCGTCACGCGGCGCATGTTGTCAGCTTCCATATAAAAAAAGTGCGGTGGGCATAAACGGGTATGCTCGCATTCGTACCTACGGCTAGGAGCCGCTCAACAAGATTTTCTTATCAGATTTTCCCCCTACCCCTCCACCCCTTCGAATGAAGCTTCTTGGGAAAGACATAAAGTATTTTGGATCTCTTTTCCTTTTGGTTTTTGTTTTGTTTTGTTTTGGTTTCAACTTGTGTTTGTTTTATTCACTAAATCATTTTCTGTCGTTTGTTTTTTTAGTTTCTTTAGTTCTTTTTATGCTACACATTAAAAATGTTTTTGGTGCTTATTTAAGACATAGTATATATATCCGTACATAACTATATAATATACTCATGTGTGTGTGTGTGTGTGTTATAAATTGTAGTTACATTTTTAATTATTATTGTTGGATATAAATACTGAAATACGCAGGCAATGCCCACTATATAATAACATACAAAAATCGAAATAAAAGTCGAATTCGTAACGCTAATCGCTAATTCGCTCGCCATAAATATGCAGTTTTGGGGCATGTAAATAAACGCATTGGAATCTTTGAAGAAAACTATCACACACAAAGGTTTATGTCGAGAATGTCTACGAGTTAACTAGGCGTATGTGTAATATTTTATGGTTTATGTTATCTACGAGTGAGACACATTAGACCTATGGGGAGTATGCATATCGGCATATCGGCCTATCGGATATATGTATCTGATTAATGCTAAACTGTTCCATTTACTGTGTGATTTCAAGTGGCAAGATCTAAGATTTAAAGAGGGCGAAATACGCTGGCAATACTTGTGCGAGCCCCAAGGATAGCAAAGGATCGTCGGGATCATCAAACAGTCTGGGGAGAAATATTCTTTGGGCTCTTTCCCTCCTCCTCCGACGAGTGTCCTGGATACTTTTCCCATTCTCTCATTCGCCACTTCCTCAGGCGCTGTTTGTGGCCCTTTCCAGCTGTGACATGACATCCCTTGGCCGCGTCTCGTGCGGCATCCGCTCCACCTCTATGTACTCCTCCTCGTCCTGGGCGGGCTCTGGCTCATCATCACAGCCGCCGGAGTGGCCCGTATCCGTGTCGTACAGCTCCTGCTTGACGGTCGTGGGACTTCGCACTGGACTCGGACTGGGCGAAGCACTGCGTCGCATCGGTGGCTCTGGCTTGGCCAGCGCTGGACGAACCGTTGGCCTCAGCTCGTGGGCGCGCTGGTGGTGCTCCAGCTCGGCGCGGAAGTAGAACTTCTCGGGGCAGATGTTGCAGTCGTAGGGACGCGAGTGGGCCCCGTGCTCGGCCATGTGGCCAAGGAGGCCGCCGGGGGCCGTGAAGACGGCCGAGCAGATGTAGCAATTGAAGCCGCGCTGCTCGGTGCCGGCGAAGGTGTGCTCCACCAGGTGCTCCTGCAGCTTCTGGGCGTGCGGCAGGATCATCTTGCACAGATTGCAGCGGTTCTCCAGGTAGGCAGCCGGCTGGGCCTGGATCGCGGGGCCCTCGCTGGCCTTGCTCCGCTTGCCGTTGAGGTTGTGCTTGCGGCAGCACTTCTCGCACAGCTTGGCCGGCGTGGTGGGACCCTCCACTGCCCCTGGCAGCGGCTCCAGGCAGAGGGCGCAAACCGGCTCCTGGAGACTGCCGCCACTGGACGAGGACTTGGTGTGGAACTTGGCGTGCAGGCTCAGCTCGAACTCCGAGTGGAGCGTCTGGCGACAGCAAATGCAGGCCAGGGGCAGGGAGGCGCCATCGCTGCCATGCTCGCTGAGATGGGCCCGGAAGGCGGCCACATCCTCCAACGGGTGGCTGCAGTGGGCGCACTTGCCCGACTGGCCCACCTTCGAGTGCTGCAGCTTGTGCTCCGCCAGGATGGCCGGCGAGGGGAAGATCTCGTCGCAGATGAGGCACTTGTGCTTGCCCGTCGAGTTGTGGCAGCTCTTCATGTGCTGCTCCAGCTCCGCCCGCGACTTGAAGTTGCCCGCACAGTAGGCGCAGCGCAGGCTCACGCCAGTCTTCAGGTTGTGGGCCAGCTTCCGGTGCGAGTGGAGTTCCGCCTCGCTGCGCAGATCCTGGCGCTCGCACATCCCACAGCTGAAGGTGGCAGCGGGTGCGCTTGGCGGCGGCGCCTGTGCTGCTGGCGGGCCATTGATGGAGGAGGCTCCTCCAATTCCTACTCCTACTCCTACTCCTCCTCCTCCGGCTGCTGCTGCTGCTGCTGCTGATTCGTTGGCGGTGCTGTTGGCCGGAGACGTGGACTTGGCGGCGTACATCTCCATCAGGTAGCGCTGGCTGAGGCCGTACATCAGGGCGGGATGGGGCGAGGTCTGTGCCTTCAGGGCATTCGTGTCCACCTGCAAGGGGCTGTAGAACTTGCTGGCCGCCGCGGGGCCCGTGGGTGCACTGCCTCCGGTCGCTCCCCCACCGAACAGACCCTTGAAGGCCACGTTGTAGTCGATGATGCTGCTGTTGTTGTTGGTGGCGGCTGCGGCAGCGGCAGCTGCGGCCAGGGGCGGCAGCAGGGCGTTCACATAGAGACTGCCCATGTTGGGGGAGCTTTGGGGCGGCTGCTCCTTGTCCTTGCCGCCGCCGTGCTGGCTCTGCATGTGCCTGTCCAGCAGGAACTCCACGTGGAAGGTCTCCGGACAGGAGGGACAGCGAAACTGTCGCGCATGCGCCGCCAGATGGAAGTGCATCTCCAGCTCGGAGGAGCACACGGCCCGGCAGAACATGCACTGCAGCGGGTTGGCCGGACTGCCGCCGTTGCCGCCCATCGGGTGGTGCTGTTGGTGGTGCTGCTGGTGCTGGTGATGGTTGCCCAGCTGATGGCGCGTCTTTACGTGCACATGGAAGTCGCCATCGGAGCGGAAGACCTCCATGCAGGCGCTGCAGCGCAGCAGCTTCGTCTCGTGGCTGTGGGCGCAGGCCAGATGCAGCTGCATGGCCATCCGCGTCTCGCACATCTCCGAGCAGAGGCCGCACTTCAGCAGGGTGAGCACGTGCTCGGTGATGAGGTGCTGCTGCAGCTCCTCCGCCTTGCCGAAGCTCTTGCCGCAGCTGGCGCTGCAGTTGAACTCGGAGTTGGCGATCAGGAAGTGTCCCACCACGTGACGCTCAAAGTCCGACTGCTCCGGCAGACTCAGCCCACAGTGGGGGCAGATCAGCTGCATTCCCTCGGCAATGTGGCTCTTCAGGTGATTGCGGAAGCTCTCGAAGTCGGGTAGTCCCGCGTTGCACTGGTTGCAGAAGAAGATGCCGGGGGGTGCCGCTGCCTGCGGCGGAGGATTGGGCGCTGCGTTGGCTGGTGTCTGCGGTCGACGCTTGTTGCTGCTCAGATCCGTGGGCAGGTCGTCCTCGGAGGGTCGGCTCTCCCGCGGCTCGGGACTGCCCAGATCCGGCTTTATCTTGGGCAGATCCAGCGCCAGCCGTGGACTAAATGTTCCTGCGGTGGCCAGCCGGTTGAAGTGCTCGTAGTAGGAGTTGGGGCTGCTCAGGCGATCCAGATGGGTGGCGCGCATGTGCTGGAAGAGTCCGGCAATGTTTCCAAACTTCATGGTGCAGTACTCGCAGCTCAGCTGGAAGCCCTCCCCCTCCTGGACGGGAGTCTTCGCCGATTGCTGCTGCTGCTGCTGTGACTGCTGCTGTGGCTGTTGCTGCTGCTGCTGCTGCTCGTGGACATTCTGGAGATGGGCATTCAGCTGCTCCAAGCTGCTGAACTCCGTCGCCTTGGGGCAGTAGCTGCATCGCAGCAGCGGGGTGGGTGTTGGCGTGCCGGCCACATGGCTGCTGCGCGATCTCTTGGGAAAGTCCAGGCGACTGGAACTGCTGTCGGTGGCCAGGGCCAGGGCATAGCGCCGCTTGTGCAGGCTCCCATTGCTGGACACCGACGCCGAGGCGGAGCCCGTGGACCGGGGACTGTAGTTGAGGGCATTGGGGATTGCCGCCGGCTGCCAGTATGGCGGCGTTCTTCTTGTGCTTCTGCATGTGCGAGGTGAGGGCCGCGGCCGTGTTGTAGCCCCTGTTGCACATGCTGCACTGGAACGGCTTCTGGATGTCATGCGTCTTCATGTGGATCTTCAGGTGATCGCTAATCAACAGAGAGGATGATAGGCAAGAGGATGACAGTCAGATTGGAATAAAGTATAGCAACTATAGTTGTTGTTGTCTCCGTTTTCACTGGTGTTCCACTTACCTTCGGGAGAAGGCCGCCTCGCAGTGCGGACACTTGTAGTTGCGCTCGTTGGTGTGCAGCTTCTTATGGCGATCCCGGGAGCGTTTGTGCTTGAACAGCTTGGCGCAGTACTCGCACTTGAAGGGCAGATGCTCGGCATGGCTCTGCAAGTGGACAGATTAAAGGGGAAACTCCATTAGTACTCCATTCCCACTGGCACAAGTGCAATCTTAGCTATATTCATGTCCCAGACACAGGCCCAGACGGTGACTTGGGCCAAGAGAGCTATTTGAAATTCTTAGAAGACAACCAGGCAGCGTCGTCAACTGTCCGTCTACCCCAGTTAAAAATGTTGACGATGACGACGACGACGACAACGACAACGACGGCTCCTCGCTTGAATTTATAGATGCGTCAATCTGAATCTGAATCTGCATACGGACTGACTCGGACTCGGGCTTGGACTTGCGTTTGGACTCTGCCTCTGACTCGGCCTCTGTTGCTGTTGCTGTTGCTGATTCTGATTCTGTTGCTGATTCTGTTGCTGTTGCTGACTGCGAGAGAGAGAGACTGACGGGAACCGTAGGTGTTTCACTTGCGACTTGTGGCTTGTGGACAAAAATTCATCTAAATGCGCGACGCCTCGCTGTGCTGTGGGGGAATGGGTTTGGGGGGTGGGGGCCTACACCCGCAACCGGTTTACTTTTGGGGTTCTTTGGCGGCTGCCAAAGCGTCGGTGGAGCGCTTTGAACTCGCTGAGGAACAAAAAATGAGCCCATTTGTATGCAGCCCCCCAGCTCGGGATGATTCGCGTATATTGCACAATATACTCCACTCGTATACGACCCATACCCTTACCCATGCGACAGTTTAGCCGAGTTAGTCGCATCCACACACACACACACACAAGAGAGAGAGAGAGAGAGCGGCAGAGAGAGCGGATCCCAGGCAAACTTCTTCGTGTTGGTTATGGTTTTTTAAACTGTCGCTCCAATCATGATCGCCATCAACATCCCTCCCCCATAAGCCGCGCCCCACCCACCTTCCTTCGGGCGGAGAACGTGCGAGAATGGCCCGAAGACCGAATTCTTAATATCTGTCCCCCCTTTCCATTCCCTTCCCCATTCCGAGTCCAGGCGCTAGGATCAAAGCGAGCGCTGCATGTTAGACCCTGGCCGGCGATAAAGATCAGCCGCTGCGGCGGTAGTCCGTCCTCCTAAACAGCAGTTGCAATTGGGTTAACAAGTTGCTGATGTCATTTGGGCGGTGTTCGCAGTCCAAGAAGCGTTTAAGCCGAATCACAGGGGTGAGGGCTAGAGGCGGCAGCCATAAAGGCCCCCGAAAGTTTCGCTCTTAGATGATATGCGAAAAGATTACCAAAGGAATGTTGGATGGATGCTTGGAATGGATCTAACTGAAGGTTAACCCAATGGATCTGGGGTATGATGAAAGCTTTAAGGGTATATACATATATATGTATATGTATAGAGATGATAACTGTAAGATATATTCCCTTTAGATTTTCTTTTTATTCCCAAACCTTAAATTGATTAAAACCGAACCCCTTAATGTCTTTCGGCTTCTTCCACTTCCACTGGCAATTCAATTTCAATTAACAAATCCCAAAATTGTGCAACAAAGTTCAACCTTGACACCCGAAAAGCGCCAGGGCGCCAAGCGCGAAGCAGTCTGTCACCTAAGTGTCAATCAACCCGAACCGCAACTCGAACAAGCGTCAAGTGCTAAGCGCCTTATGGCCATGCCAAGATGGTAATTAAGCAACCCCCCCACCCATCCACCCAGCCACCCAGCCACCCATTTGGGGCGCGTAACAACCCCAAGGAAGTAAGGGGAACGGAAGGGAACCCTTGTCGTGGGAGACGAGACACTCACCTGCACGTGATGCTTCAAGTAGCCGAGACGCGGAAACGTCTTATCACAGAACTGGCACTGATAGGAGCCGTCGCCGCGACTCTTAATGCCTTCGCCTGTCAACTTATCAAACTTTGCGGCTGCTCCGCCAGCAGCGCCGGATCCGGATCCAGCTCCTGCTGCTCCTGCAGCTGCCATTTTGGCCTCCTTATTGATTTTGCGCAGCTTGTTGGCAATCTTCAGGGCCTGCTGGTGATGGTAGTGATGGTGGTGGTGGTGGAAGTGCGGCTGTCGCTTTGGCTTCGCAGACTCCTCTCCTGGGACACCGTTCGACTTGCCGTCACCCGGATGGAGCTCCTCCTGCAGGGCATTCGTCGAGGCAGTGGCCAGATGATGGGCGTTGGGTGTCATGGTCCCATCGGAGATGCTCGGCGAGTAGCTGGACGAGGTGTGGGTACTGTACATGTCTGGAATGGACAAGAGCGGGAGAGAGATCTCAATTAGAAGTTATGTCCGCACTGTGTGGGCGACTGCATCCTGATTAGCGGCCCTGGGGGACGGGGGATCGTACATATGTGTGTGACTAAGCGACGACAGGAAATCAACGTCGGCTATCAAATGCTGGACACGGAATTAATTCAATTAGCACCGCATCGTTTGGTGTCCCACCCCAACTGGGGGATCATCTCCCCCCCCCTCCCAATTCCCATCTACATCTGACGCTGACCCTCTCTGTAAGTGAGTCTCATGCAAACTAATTGCGCTTTGTTCTTGTCGTCGTTTTAATTACGGGTACACCATCCATTTAATCCACTGCCCCATGTGGGTATCCGTCTCCCGCTCTCATCATCTATCACCACGCGCCAAGTGCCGTCTTCGAAAACTGTTAATTGAACCCAATTGCAATTGCAAGTGATCTGGTCTCGGGGACTACTTGCTTCTGCTTTGGACCCTGCTCTGGGTCGGTCAGGGACTGCGTTTGTTTTCCCTCGCATCGCTTGAACTCTGAACCGCCGATCCAAACTTTAATTAGGAAACATCAAACTGATGCAGCGCATCGCATTCATTTCTCAAGTTATCTTTGGGGTTAAAGAAAGTTGTAAGAGATTTGAACCCATTCATTCGTTTGATTGAATTGCTGTATGTCTGCTGAGATCATAGAAAGGGGAAAGGGTATGTCAAAGAGGTGGAACAGATTGGCCGAAGCGGGGACAGAAGATGGGCAGAAGATTTGTCTGTAATTTGTGCTGTATTTTTATGACACTTTACTTTCCAGGAATTAATCAATTAGCATTATATTGTTATGCAGAGTCTAAGCTGTAAAGAACAGATTCCTTAGTCATTGAAAGTGGCATAGCCCCGTCGGCATATTAACAGCAGATTCAAATAATTTAGTTAATTTTTTTAACTTTTGGCACATGCAGGGAAAATCTTCTTTTATTTAAGACTGCAGCTTACGAACCCCATTTTCCAATAGATCCTCTCAAACCAAATCCCCTAGAATCATCGCTTTCTATTCTCCAATACTAAATCTTCGAAAGAATTAAGAAGTAACCCTCCTATACGTTGCCCCCCGCAATTTAAACTAGAACTGCATGCCAATGGAATACGGATATTTAAATTCCCTGCCACATAGCCCCCTTTCCCTCTTAGATTCCTTGCCCCAAAAAGCTCGCTTAATTTACCGTTATTTGTGATCTCCTTGGTGGCCTGGATCTTCTCAATGAGATTCTCCAAACGCGAGCTGGGGCCGCGATAAAGCATTTTTAGGGCCATCATATCATGGCATAGTCTCAATAAATTATCCAAATCAATTATCAAATTTCACTAATTAAATTTCACTTAATTCCACGGCACTTGGGCACTTGTCTGGCTCACGCGAGGCATTAAATGTTAATGCAACACTTTTGCTGGCACCAAAGGATCGCACTTTGTTGTTGTTGTTGTTGCTGTTGTTGTTGGGGGATTTTTTTGTTGTTGCTGTGGTTTTATTTTCTTGTGCTGTGCTGTGAGGTTTTTGTCGCGCCGACGCACCACGAAGGAGACGTCCAATTGCCGCGAGCACCAAAATTGTACTAAAATCAGAGCCGAAACAGAGCCAGGGCCCCGGGTCTGGTCTGGTCTGGTCTGGGCCACCGAGCGACCAAAAGGCCGAAGTGAGAGCAGCGGGCGTCGTCAACGACGATGTCGAGACCAAAACGCCTATAAAATGCGATAACTAGGCGAACTGGTTCTCGTGCGTGTCTGTGTGTGTGTGTGTGTGTGGTTGTGTGTGTGTGCGTGTCTGTTATGAGAATCCCAAAAGGCACACACACACACACGTTTAAACATAAAAAAAGACGTCGGCGTCGCTGTCGTCACGACAAATGAGAAGCAACAGAGAAAGCAATTTAAATGGCGCCCCCACCCCACCCCCACACACAGGCACACAGACACACAGCCACACGCATAGCGAGAGGAGAGGACCGAACGAACGCATGCTAACGGAGGTGGGAGAGAGCAAGCTGAAATGCGCTTTACATAAGCACCACACACTGAGCGACCAGAGCGAGACGGAGCGAGAGACACAGAGCGAGCGAGCATTGGTGTTGGTGCCGTGGCGTATATACTTGAGCGTGTACTTGAGCACTCATGAGGTGGGAGGGGCTGGGCTGGCAAAAGGCGGAGCATGGTGCTGTGGTGCAGTGGCTCATTTCATCTGGAGTTTTGGGGCTCCTAACGGGAAGGGAATGGACTGTGGTGAGGAGAGGAGTGAGTGAGTGATTGAGTGGAGGGGTAGAGTAACCGTTGATACATTTTATAAATAATTTATTTGCACATAAAAAATATAATTTAACTAAAATGTCAGGTGATGAGGCGACACTTGTCCACTTTTCTTTGTAATTTTTTGTACTTTACAGGTATTTTCATGGAAAAGTATTCAAGAATTGATTTCCGCTAATAGAAAAAATTGGTAACCACTAAATACAGAGTACATACGAGTGGCATTGGAAATTCAAAGCTATCCGAAACTTCAATCTATCGAAGCTTCACATTTAAGATAGAAAAAGGTATCCCGTTTTAGTTGTTTTTAAATCATTTTAAAGCAGTCTAAAATCTTTTAATGAATAAGTTAAACATCAGCTATTTTTCCCTTTTGTCCATGGGAAGGCAACAGCATTTCCATCCAAAGGTTTTCTTTTTTTTTATAGTCATAGCATAATATGTTTGGGATAAATTCGGGGCTATCAGAACTCCTTAACCCTTTCAACCTATTTCCGTGTAAATGTCAATTGCCATTCTGTTTGCAAACGGGCGAAAAACATGACCACAATCGAAACAACAATACAAGAAACAATTGGGGAAAAAAGTTAAATGACGCAAAATGTCACAATGGAAGCAAAAAAAAAAACAAACAAAAAAAGAAAGCCAAATGGTGAAAAACACGTTTAAGCCATTAGCGCGGCCCCGTCAATGTGGCAAACGGAAATGTTGCAAAAATAAATCCGTACACACGAAGATTCTGACAGGAGAGCACATCACGGTAGAGTAAGGGACAGGAAAGGACAGGACAGAAGAGCACAGTAGAGGACAGAACAGAACAGCACAGGACAGGACTGGGCCAAGAAGAGAGCTGCAGCAAACGCGTCACTAAAAGCCAAATTAATTATGCATGCAACGACTGCCTGTGATATTGTGGGCAGGCAGCCCACAAATTCCCCCAGCTCCGCAAACAAAGTGCAGCCAAAAAAAGTTTGAGACTTGGATGGGACTGTCAACGGCAGAGAGTGCCGTTTGCGTCTCCTCCTGTATCCCCCCCCATGAAACTATCAGTGCAATTAAAAAATCACTTTTCACTAGTTTAGCCTCAACTCTACTCTACTCAATGTGGTTGCTCTCCCGCTGCCACTTCCACTTCCACTTCCTCTGGTTTAATGTTGTTTTATTTCGGTTTTTTGCCTCGCTTGAAGCGCTGCTCTCCCATTGGTCTCCGCTTTGGCCAGCCAATGCGCATGCCTCGCACGAAAGTATATAGATGGAGAGGGGAGAGAGGAGAGAGGAGAGAGAGAGAGAGAGAGAGAGAGAGAGAGTGGCTATTGACGAAGCTGTCAATTCGTGTTTGGGTTTTGGATTGCCGCTTTGCTTTATTTGTTAATTGTTTTACGATGTGGTTGTTGTTTGTGTCTCAAAGTTCGTTGTTTCAGTCTTTGGTTTGGGATGGGAAACTGCCATGGGAAGGGAAACCTTTGGAGTTGGTTTGGCGTTAGTTTGCAGTGTAGTTAAGTTTAGAACTGGGATTTGTAATGCGTAGCCGGAACAGAATAAGTGGAAAGTTTTACCACGCTTTTAAACAAACATTTCATTTCAGTTCAGAATATTTTCAGACTTTAATTGCATTCTAAATTGATTGGTTTTAGTGGAGTTTATGTGCAGCATTTATGTACGCCTTTTAATGGATTTCTAGTGTAGAAACAGCTGAAGCGAAGCCACCCACCCATCCTATTTGCCGCACTTTCAATCCATTTCCCACAGCCAAGCAGGGGAAATTCCGTGTCAAACTGAAAAGTTCAATTACAAATACATTCAATTAGCCGAAACCCTTGAAATCGAAAGACAGTTTAACCTTTGACCTCTGCTTGTGATAACTTTGCCCCAAATCAAAATGGAAGTCCCAACTCAAAAGAAACAAACAAACAAACAGAAAGGAAAAGAAAAAACCCGCAAATATCATGAATTTATTATCAAACAATCTGAAAGATCATTTTGCAATTAAAGTTCATCTTCGCCTTCTGCATAATTAATGTGCGAGGAAACACGACGAAAGTTTTTCCGCGTGTTGAACAATTTTCCTAATTGCAGCAAGAAGTAACAGAAAACACAAAACACAAAACAGATTCAAATTTGAAATTTTAATTGTCCTTAGATGTTATATTTTCAGCCTTGTTTTCCCCCTGTTTTTGTCAGCAGGGTGTGTGCTGAAGGGGGGGAAGAAACACGTTGAATCCTGTTGAAAAATCAACTTTCGGCTGAAAAATGGTAAAAGGTCTCTTTCCTCTCCTACTCATCCTCATGCCCCTGCCCCTGCCCCTGCCCCCTTCCGGTGTTAATTACAATTGAGTGACAGTTTTCCGACAGGCCACGACAACTGCTGGAAAAATGGAGTGATGGAGGGTGTTTGGGTGGTTGGGTTGGCTTGGACTGCCAGTCTGCGCGGTGGGTGGTGGGTGGTGGGTGTCCGCACAGGTAAATTGTGTCGCCCAGCCTTGGTGCTTGATCCTTTTCCGTTTGGTCCCGTGCATTTTTAATGCGCGGCTAATGCAAAAGTCAGCCAAAAACTTTTCACTGAGATTTGCAGTTGGTCAACAGATTGTGAGGCGGACCAGAGGACCACAGGACCGAAGGGCCGCAGGGCCTCGCCTCATGTGTCACTCGTCCTTGATATGTGCTGACAGGCAAAGGGTTTCGGCTTCGCTGGCGCCCTCATGCATAATAGATAAATTATAAAAATATATTCACTACATGGGAGCCGGTAATGTGGAAGGATGTGGGGGAGGAGGAGGAGAACCTGTCATTGTCCTGCCAGCCAAAGTGTCCTTTTGTTTCAGCGCATTTTAAATGAGCCACTTCCAGGGCCATTCTCCGTAAAAGTCACTCAAATTGTCACTTTGATGTCCTGACAGCTGTCCAGCATTAGAGCCCATACCCAGACCCACAGTGCCAGAGCCATAAGCCGAGTCCGAGGTCCATGTGTCTCCATAGATTTCCATCTCCCGGCACTGATCTCAGTCCCGTGCAAACTGCACAATTAATCAGACGGTTGAGGCCTCATTTAATTAGAGCCCGAACCCGAACCCGAATCCGAATCCGAATCCCAACCCGATCCCGATGCCGCGTTTGGTGGTCAAGTTCAGGCAGAAGAAAAAAAAGGTTCACTCTTGTCACAATATATTTTTTAATTTCTTTAATGAGCCTTGACAGGATTTGTGGCTTGGCCACAAGGGTTGGGCAGAGGCTGCATCCTGGATGATTGTTGTATCAGTAAAAGGAAACCTTTGCAGATTTTTTTTTTTATTCTAATATTTATTGCTATAATGGAACCATGGCTAACTATCCTTAAGCTTGCTCTTCAGTCTATCTGAGAATTGACTAAGAATTTCCCTGCCATTTCCCTCTCCCCGCCCGGTGGCCCTTCCACAATTTTCAGCTTATCGAGCACTCGGAACGGAACCCAACAGCGCGCCACTCCACCACAAACATTAGAGACAACTTTTAGACATATTTACCAAACAAATAATTATCCCGATAATCTGATTGCGATGCTCAGCCGATGCCCGTGATATATTGTCAAGTCATGCCTCAGAATTCAATGGGACATAATGATGATCCCTTCGCATTGCATCACAGACAGTTCTCGATGCGATCTCTCCTAGGTTTCTCAATGAAAAATGAGGCAAAGTCAAGCGGGATTCTCAATGGAGTGCTGGGGATTTGTCTCAATCGTGATCGAGGCGCTGACACAAATCAATCAACGCACACACAGACGGCCAACAGGTAGAGGCCCCGCACTGATCAGGCACTGGAACTGCCTCTGTCTCTGGGTTTTGTCAGTCTGGGTCTGGTTATGGCTCTGGGATCTTGATCGACTGTCAGGGCTAATGACGGGCCTGGCGACGTGTCGGGTGCGTCCTGCGGTGGCTGACTCCACGCCCTCCCTCTAAACAGGGCTTTGAAAAGGGTTTCCAAATCGATTTTTGTGTGCCTTGATTGCTTGATTGACGCTCTGCCTGACCGACCATAATTGACTTTCGCACCTGTTTTTCTCTCCATTTCTCTTGGTAGCTGGAAGCCCCCTCAACCGCAGAGGCTTGAAGTGAGCTGTGG